GTCATAAGCTGTGACCAATCACAGCCCACACAGTATTTCTTAATGGCTCAAGAATGAAGCCAGAGAGAAGGGGAAATTATTGCTTTTACAGCCTTTATGGGTGCAAAAGTAATCCGTGTAAAAAAAAAAAAAAATCTTCATCACCCCCCACAAGTAGTACAGTGTCACTATGTACTGCTAGGGTGACAGTATGTAAAAAACAAAAAAAAAAACTAATTAAAAATTAAAATAAAAAAGTAAAAAAAATATTTAGAAAAATTATAATTTTTGGTTATAAACTAATTTTTTTTTTTTTTTTTTTTTTTACTAAAAAGATAACTCAGTAAATTTTGGGCAAGATTTATTAAGAAAGATTATTGCTTTGCAAAATTTTATAAGAAAAACTTTTCAAAATTTTTGGACATTTTCATTTATACAGCAAAAAAAATAAAAATCCCAGTAGTGAATAAATACCACCAAAATAAATTTTTATCTGTCTCAAAAAAATGCTAAAAAATTCATATGGGAACAGTGATACATGACCGTGCAATTGTCATTCAAAGTGTGATAGCGCTGAAAGCTGAAATTGGCCTAGACTGGAAGGGGGTAAAAGTGTCTGGACTTGAAGTGGTTAAAGTGGCTCTAAAGGCTGAAGGATTTTTACCGTAATTCATTCTGTGCAGCTCCCCCCCAGACTCTCCCTTATACTTACCTGAGCCTGATCTTGATTCAGTGCTGTGCAAGAAAGCAGCGATTCTTTCGGCTCTCTCCCTCCTCAAAGGCTTAGAGACAGCAGAGGGAGCCGCTGGTCATCACAGCTAGTGAGGAGGGAGCAGGGATGGGGTCAAGCCATGCTCTGTGTACAGACACAAAGCCAGCTTGGGAGGAAGCCTGCATGAGTGCCCCCATAGCAAGTGGCTTGCTATGGTGGGCATTCAGCAAGGCCGGTGGGGGACCTAAGAAGGAGGAGGATCGGGTTACCCTGTGCAAAACAATTACACAGTGCAGGAAAGTATGACATGTTTGTCATTAAATAAAAAAAAAACATGGGTTTATAATCACTTTAAGGACTTAGCAATGACATAATTAATACGAGTGAGCACCCAGGGGCCCTAATGTTTAAAATCTTAAATGTGCCTAACAGAGTTTTGTTGAAACTAGCACAGTTTCAATGCAGTCTAGGATGATTTCTATTACCGTACTTTGCAGAGAGCACAGCCAAGCTACTACATGCAGAACTCTGGGAGCACACTGAACATATTTATAACAATTAAATACAGATTTATTGTCAATCTTGAGCAATAATTTAAATGCGCTATGATGTAAACATCAAAGGGGACATAGTTTACCCCATAAGGAATGAACTGGTTTAATTATTGGACAATGTTTTTGATATATGGACATTTGTACACGTTGTGACAGGAGGAGGTGTATTGTAGTACCTATTACAGATATTAATTCACATTCATTTATTTTATAGGTGATGTGTTATTTGGTATATTGATTGGTTCACCTAGCACATACGTTAACAGGTGGGGGAGGTGTATTATAGCACGCTCACCATACTTTATGGTTAATTTATCACAGATATATATATATATATATATATATATATATATATATATATAGACAGAGTTGTTTACTTACACACTTCCTCAGCAATAGGGAGCTGCTTATAACACATTCATAAGAATATAAAAATTGCTGTGCTGCTTCTCCAAAAAACTACTTTCAAATAATTAAATAAATGAACTTCCTACTACACAAAGGGTCCCCACAAATGAGCATGTGCTATAATGCCCAGTGGGCTGGCAATTATATCCATCCTCCTCAGTGACTAAATCCCTTCAATGACCTGATGACGTCATACGACGAAACATGTAGAGACGGGGCTTTATAGCTCTACATTTGTCCTCTGAGAAGGAATTGCTTTTTGCTGGGATTTAAAGATCCATACACATGGTTTTTATGTAAGTGCACTTTTAAATGTTTTTTTACCTAATAAATATGGTGTTACGCTATGGAAGTTTCCCTTTGATGTTTTTAAGGTGGTGAAGGAGTACTGTGGAGGTTCTGGAGGAGTTTTGCCGCAAACGATTGATCTAGAGGTGTTTTCCATTATAGAGTCTGTCATCAGCGTATAGAGGTGTCAAGACCACACAGACGGCCAACTTTCCTGCAGGAGAGCGCTGCAACATCTCATGCAATAATTTGACCTACAATTCCAGGTGGTCAATTATTTGTGGTCAGTGGGGCTCTGGGAGGGGAAGCACTAATTGGAGCACAACGCACAGAGAATTGCTATGGATAAGAAGATGTACTACTGTATCACTTCATATTCACACCAGATGTTGATAGGTGTTTCTTTTGGATTTTTTTGGAACTTTTATAGGTTTGCACAATTATTAAGACTTATATATATATATATATATATATATATATATATATATATATACACACACACACACACACACACACACACACACACACAAACACACATACAATTTCACTGTATACACAGTTTCATGGCATTGTATATTTGCTATTTTTAGCACAATTGTCGTTTAAGTACCTTGTATTTACTTATTGGTTTATTTGGGATTAAGTCACTAGGGAGGAGGGATATAATTGCCAGCCCACGGGGCATTATAGCACATGCAAATTAGTGGGGACCCTTTCTGCAGTAGGGAGTTCATTCATTCATTTAATTAATTCTTTAAAGTAGTTTTTGGGAGAGACAGCGCAGCACTTTTTTTATGTTTGCACTCACACCTTTGTGATTTTGCTAGCAGCAGCCAGTCCAATTGATCAGTCCTCTGTGCAGGTTATACTCACACACATTCACAAGAATATTTCACTGTTGTTTTTACAAAGGAGCAAGATTGGCAGCGCAGCATTTATTTCATTTAAAGATGATCTATACTCAAAATTTTATTTTTTTGTTCTGGATAGAGTGGAGACATGTAATCCAAACACATCTGTCTAAGAGGGGGAAGTCCCCTTACTTTGTAGGCATTTCCTCACATTTCCTATTGTATATACACATTTCCTACTGTATATACAAGATCGGACAAAAAGGAAAATCTCCTCAGTAGGATAGGAGTTTTATCCATTCCCTACTGATTGTAGATTCATGTACTTTGGCCGCAACTGTTGCTATAGTTACTTGAATACCCTACAATGACATTTTGGGGTTCTTTGAGACTTCTTTTAGCATTGAATGGTCAGTGTTTGACCCTGCTAAACCTAAGGCTTGCCATACATGTATCAATTTTTTTGATCACCCAGCAGGCTGATCAAAAGATCTGGAGACTTCTTTTAGCATTAAACAGTCAGTGTTTGGGCTTAATTTGATGGGTGGCCACTCCAGAACAAATTAACATGCAGTTGTTTGAAATCTATGCTACTTGTACATTACTTTCCTTACAGTGGACCTGTACATTATTTTTCCCTTCGATCAATGGCTGATTGAAGGAAAACTGATTGAATATGGAGACTTGTTTTAGCACTGAACGTTCAGTATTTGTGTATATATTGATAGGTCAGCCACTCCAGGGCAAATTGCCATGCAATTGTTCAAAATCTATGCTGCTTGTACATTACTTTGTTTACAGTGGAATGACTGATTTTAAATCATTTGATGATCTTTTTAAATCCTTTTCCAGATTCACAGACATCCGCAACTTTCTTTGTGAGGGCCTCAGAGAGCTCCTTGATGATGACACCACACTTGTCAATAGCAAAGAAGACACCAGATCCTAGATATCAGAGATGTAAAAATAAAAAGACAGGTTCCACTTGCATACTCTTAATAATTGGCACATAATTTGGAACACCAGATTCCAATTTCATGGATTGAAGCTGTGGTAAATGCAGGCGTGTACTTACTTTTTCCAAATGACAAAGCTGCATTTGGGTTAATTTAGATAATGAAACTGAACACCTTGTCAATTTCTGTGCCATTAGTTCAAGTATATCACCTCTATCTGTACATACTATTTAATCTAGATCTAATGTTTGCCTGTTCACATATGTTGAAAATAATTTCCATGGGGTGTACACACTTTTTCACATGACAACTGGAATCTGGTTGTTGGAGGAAAATAAGACTCCACGTTACTGTATGCAAAAAGGGGGGAAAGTCTATAAATAGGGGTCATTTGTGAAGGAATCTATGACCTGGAGCGAAGAAAATATCAAGTGAAAACATACTGATAACCCTTCCAGACATGCACAACTGAAAGTTGAATGCTTTTGTAAGAAAGGAAAAAAACAAAACTATACATTTCAGCACTATATAAACCAGCAACACAAATGAACAATATATCAAAAGCATACCAAGTTAGAAGCAAGACTGCCCCCTTGAGGTTACAATTAAAACTGTTTTTCTGCTACAATTATCTTTGTGTAGATCTGCTATACCCAAGGCTGACCATGCATCCCCATGCATGTCTTTTTTTTTTTTTTTGATCAGCCAGCAGGCTGATTGAAAGAAAACTGAATATATTTCCCCATCCACACTAGCAAGGAGGATGGAGGAATCCTTCCTGCTGCGTTATTGTATTCTGACAGTGGGGACTCCTCTGCTATCGAGATACACTGATCATCACCGCAGCCAAATGACTGCAATGCTGACCAAACAAATATTTAGCAACAAGCTCATTCGCCAGAAATCAATTATTAGACTGACTTCTCTGGAACAAGAACAGATATAGATGGATCGAATTTCGGCCGGTGGCAGTTGAACCAGAAAAACATCGATCTAACTATGGGCAGCTTAAGTTTCGACAAAACAAAGCCAGGGTTCATGCAATTTCTTAACTTGTTTAAATGACATTTAAGCCCAAAGTGAATGAGATTTTAAGCACTGCAAACTTCAGCTTTAGATGGTAACTATGAAATATTATGTATATTTGTAACAATTTTGCTTTTTTTTTTAATCACTCATTTATCTTTGCCTGTTAATCATTAATAAACACAGAAAAAGGTGTGTTCTGCATACAAAAATGAAGACAGAACTTACTAAGATCTTCTGCTAGTTGGACCCTCTTTCCGGTGAGCAAGTTAACTTTTTTATCACTGTCTTCAGCAAAGTCTTCCAAGACCTCTTTGACATTCTTCTCTAATCGCCTTACTGCAAGAAAAAAGATAAGCAGAGAAAGTGCTGAGTAAAATTGCCCACAGGAATTAGTTTCACAAACTTTAACACAGGCATGCACACATACAGTTGTGCTCAAAAGTTTGCAAACCCCAGCAGAAATCATTACATTTTGGCATTTATATTGAAAATATGACTGATCATGCCAAAAAACTGTCTTTTATTTAAAGATAGTGATAAATATGAGCTGTATAGTCGAGTTGCCAGAAAGAAGCCTTTACTGCACCAATGCTACAAAAAAAGCCTGGTGAGGCGTGTCAAGATGTCAGGCATATTGTAACGTCTGCTGTGTCCCCCACATGAATTCTTGCAAACTGCAAACGGGACTTCTTATGGCTTTCTTTCAACAATGGCTTTCTTGCCACTCTTCCATAAAGGCCAGATTTGTGGCGTGCATGACTAATAGCTGTCCTGTGGACAGATTCTCCCACCTGAGCTGTGCATCTCTGCAGCTCCTCCAGGAGTTACCACGGGGTTTTTGGCTGCTTTTCTGATTAATGCTCTCCTTGCTCAGCCTGTCAGTTTAGGTGGACGGCCATGTCTCGGTAGGTTTGCAGTTGTGTCACTCTTTCCATTTTCAGATGATGGATTGAACAGTGCTCCTTGAGATGTTCAAAGCTTGAGATTTTTTTTATAACCTAACCCAGTTTTAAACCTCTCCACAACTTTATCCCTGACCTGTCTGGTTTGTTCCTTGACCTTTGTGATGCTGTTTGTTCACGAATGTTCTCTGTAAAACCTCTGAGGGCTTCACAGAACAGGTTTATTTATACTGACTTTAAATTACACACAAGCAGACTCTATTTACTTTACTTATTTGGTGACTTCTGAAGGCAATTGGTTCTACTACATTTTAGTTAGGGATATCAGTGTAAAGGGGGCTGAATACAAATGCACGCTATACTTCTCAGGCATTTATTTGTAAAAAAGTTTGAAAACCACTTATTTTCCTTCCACTTGACAATTATGTGCCACTTTGTGTTGGTCGATCACATAAAATACCAATAAAATACATTTATGTTTTGGGTTGTAACATGAAAATTTCAAGGGGTATGAATACTTTTTCAAGGCACTGTATCTACCCAGCTTAAGCCTATATACAGGGGCGTATTTACCACAAGGCATTTGCCTAAAGGGGCAGCGGCATTTTTCAGGGGGGCAGCGCTGCCCCCTGAAAGAAGGGATAGAAGAAGGGACACACGCAGCATTGGGACCAGGTGGGATCTGAGAGAGGCTGCGGGCTGCTTGATGGTGTATGTAGAGCCTGACTCTTGTTCCCGGGGATGTCCGGAGCTGTGAAGGTGAGTGTCTTCTCTCTCGTAGGGGTGAGGGGCATGGGTTGCCAGTGTATGGGGGAGGTGGTAGTGGAAGGCTCTCTTGGATGTGGGTTGGGGGGGGGGGGGGGGTCTGGGGTGTTGTTGATCAATGTCAGGCTCTCTTCGTGGGGGTGTTTGTCGGTGTCAGGGTCTCTCCGTGGGGGGTGGGATCTGAGTTCTGTGTTGCCTTGGGCAGCACGAAACCTAAATACACCACTGCCTATATACATGTGAAGAATATTTAAAGATTACAATTAATGCAGTTGTTGGCAAGATCACAAGCAGCTTGTATATAGCAATGTAAGAAACTCAAAATACAGGATTCAAATGTAAAAGTTATAACATTTTTATTTCTGTCTGTGTCTCCATCAGGGAGATTCATCCTCTGTATTTCTCCCGTTTACCATTATCATTGACAGTGAAAGTAAAAGACAATCCCAAATTTTGGGTTGTCCCTAGAAAAGTAACAGAGGAGAAATCTTCCAATGGGGACACTAGTTCTGGTGACCTGGGGGGCCCCCCAATGGATTCTCTTAATTTGCATGGAATTCCTCTCACTCTAGGCTATGGGACAGGAGATGAAGCTATTCTCAATGGGACATAGATGACAAAGAACAAAAAAAAAAATTCTGACAGGGATTATAATCCTCCCTTATTCTATCCAAAATGAAAAAAAAAAAAAAAAAAAAAAAGTGTTGCCCACAGTTTTACTTTAATGTTCACGGGAAAAAACGAACAGTGCCATTGCTGATATCTCCTGAAAATGTTAGCTGCCTGGCTACCATGCTGAAACTGTACTTATACCCAAAGGATGAATGCTCATTATATCTAGAGAAAGGAGAAACACTTTTACTTATCTGATCCTTCTCTCCCCTGGCAGAAGGCCTCTCCCCCCCCCCATTGTCCCGTGGTGGTCTGTCGCCCTTTGTGCCCGTGAAACGCATTAACGGCTCTGTCCCTTGGGTGTTTGGTATGATGTTTTGACTTTCATTATATTGAATAAAGTATCCAAATTTTCCATTACATCAGTGTGCAGTACTCGACCTTTACTTAAGCTGTTATCTGGAGGCGAACCGGACCTGCAACAGCTGTGTGGATAAGGCAAACTGACCAGAGCAGTGTTATTACAGCTTTGTCAATACAGGGCTATGGACCTTGCTTTGGTCCCGATGACGTTCGGATCCTAGACTGCTACACCGTGGGGGAAAAAAAAAAAAAAAAAAGGATGCGGGGACTAGGACCTAAACAAGCAATTAACCCATGATGCATGGGCACAGCACTATTGCAAGAAATACATTTTTAGTTGCCTGGAGTTGGGCTTTAAGCGTAGACATAAGGAGCAACATTCCTTATCGGTGTGCTTGTGTCAAGTCAGTGACTCTAAAAGACAGTAGGTAAAAATAACTGCTAGGCGACTAGCATTTTCAGAAAGTTGTCAGCAATGGCAGCTCCATGGGTCTCTAATGAAAGACTTACTTTAAGATCGTTATCGGGCCCTCAATTTTCAGTTACCTGTATATATAAAAAAAAAAAAAAAAAAAAAAAAAAAAGACTGGGCTTCTTAATTTAAAATACAGCAAAAACAAAATAGGGATTTCTCCAGTTCCTCATGTCTATTCTTAGACCTATATTTCAGATATTTTTATAGATACAATTTAGGGGCTGAAAACATCCATACTTTCCCTTTTGGCCAGTTCAGTATAATTTTGTTTTGTTGATTCACTTTGCTATACACAATATTTTTTTTTTTTTTTACTACTGCAGTCACTACAGATCTGGATAACATCTAACAAAGATCACATAGATGCACCATTTTCCTTATCTTACCTTCTGTGTTTGTTAGTTGCTGCCTTAAGGTGTTTGCAGTGATTGCCAACATCCGCTGTATTCTCCAAAAAAGGACCACATCATTGCATTCCAGCTAAAAAGACATTTCAAAATTTTAGAAGAAGCTATTCTCACAGTATCCAGTGTTCCTTACTTACCACCATAGGGTGTGTCCAGGGTTAGACTGACCATTTGGAAACTCGGGCACTGCCCGAGGGCCAGGATCAGTAGGGGGCCCCATGAGATGCCCCTGGTACCTTTTTCATAGGCTTTTTGAGTTTGGGCAAGGACACAGGGGCCCCATGATCCCCTGTTGCCCGGGGGCCCCATGAGTTGTCAGTCCGCCCCTGGGTGTGTCGACAGTATTTCTAAATCTTCTCATGCTCTGAATAAGGCACTGAAAGATTAAATTCTCTGGAACATAAATTTGCATTTTTATTCAGAGAGCTTCCCTAGCAACCAGAACATCTCACATCAGCTGCGTGTAGATGTAGATTCAGGTGTCAAGGAGTCATTAGCACTTGGGACAAGACAGGAGCAGAAAATGTTGAAATAGTATAAGTATACCCAACACGGGTAAGACACTTTTTACAAATTTTAAGCAGGGCTAACTGAAACTGAAAAAAAAAAAAAAAATAGTGGTTATATTCTGCTAAATATTCTATTCATTTGCTTCTTGAGCCCACCATAAATTCAGATAATGGACATAAGCATCATTTAAAATTTTGTAAAATTATGTGCGCTGACACCACTTGAGTACTTGAATATAAAAGGGTTATATAATTTTTATTTTCTTTTTCCCAGAGAAAATAAAGACTGCTGCATTGAAGAGAAACTGCTGATGCAACTATCTTTGGAAACCAACACTTTTTAGAGTGCTAGAATCCCAGTCTCCTGTTAAGCTAGTCAATTTTGGCACCTTTTATTGCTTAACTTTAGGCATTAAACATTTACGTTTTCAAAACACCTCAGGTTTATTAGACTTTATACAAAAGAAGCTTAATGTTTCAAAAGCTTGTATCTTTATTACGTCAAGTTAGCTACAATAGGGTATCACTGAAGTCACAACGTTTCTGCATGGATCGATGGCTAAACCTCTGTGCTACTGATGCATATTAGTAGAGTCTACTTTAACAGAACAATGCATGTCAAGTCACACGCACTCAACTAGAAGGGCTTACACAATGTCTAGGAGCTGACCACACTATACAAACTGCAGTGAAAGAAAACAGATAACTCATGGAGCATGTTTTCTACCCTGTGGCTGCTTTCACCATGTAAAGACTGTACACTGTCAGACTGTAAATCGGCAGATAAAGCAATATGTAAAATCCCAATAGAAAACATATCAAATGTTTAAACTGAGAAAATGTACCATTTTAAGAAAAAATTAGGTCATTTTGAAACTGATGGCAGCAACACGCCTTAAAAAAGTTGGGACAGGGCAACAAAAAAGCTGGCAAAGTAAGTGGTAGTAATAAGAAAGAGCTGGAAGAACATTTTGTAAATAAGGTCAATTGGCAACTGGTCAGCAACATAAAAAAGCATCTCAGAAATTCAGTGTCTCTGAAGTAAAGGTGGGCAGAGGTTCACTAATCTGTGAAAAGCTGCATCTAAAAATTGTGGAAACAGCTTCAGAATAATGTAGAGAGGAAAGGATCGCCGCTACTTCCGACCAGTCCAGGTGAATAAACGACAGAGAGGCCTCTGCCTATATGTCTCCACCAAACCACACACCCTGATGAATTTCACCCCACCCACTGGGGCTTAGTCACAGGGTGGGTACCCTATGACTAAGTCTCAGTGGGCAGGGCGAAATGCATCAGGGTGGTTTGTTGGAAAAAATGTCAGCTGTATCGTTTATTCACCTAGGCTGGTCGAAAGTAGCGACAATCCTTTCCTCTTTACATTTACTAGCCCCCTGGATTGATATTAGGACAAGCCTGCACCCCATGTTATGCGATACATAGATATGCTTTCACCTCTACTTTGAGCAGTGCCAAAAGCAATCTTCAGGCTATCAGATGGCACTTCATTAAAAACAGGCATGATTCTAGTAAAAAATATTGAAACAGAAAAACAGGCATGATTCTGTGATGGAAATCACTGCATGGGGTCAGAAATACTCCCAAAAGTCACTGTAAATAATGTTTGCAGTGCTATCCAAAAATGCAAGGTAAGGCCTTATTATGCAAAAAAAGCCATTTCTGAACATGATCCAGTAACACCACGGTCTTCTCTTGGCCAAAGCCCATTTAAAATGGTCTGCTGCAAAGTGAAAAACTGTTCTGTGGTCAGATTAATTAAAATTTGACATCTTTTGGCAACCATGGGCGCAGCATCCTCTGGACTAAAGAGGAGAGGAACCTTCCGGCTTGTTACCAGCGCTCAGTTGAAAAACCTACATCTCTGACGGTATGGGGGTAAATTAGTGTGTACAGAATGGGCAGCTTGCACATCTTGAAGGCATTACCAATGCTGAAAGATACATCCAGGTTTTAGAGCAGCATATGCTCCCAATCAGATGTCTTTTTCAAGGAAGGCCTTGCAAATTTCAGCAGGACAATGCTAAACTGCATCCTGCATCTATGACAATAGCATGGCTTCATAGTAAAAGAGTCCAAGTGCCTAAAGAGGAGTTTCAGTCCCCCCCCTCCCAAATATTAAAGGTAAGCAGCTACAAATACTGTAGCTGATGAGTTTTAATTAGGGCACTTACCTGCCCAGGGGATCTAGCAGTGTCCTCACCCCGAGCCTATTCTTCAATCGGCTGTCAGGTGCTGGCGCCACCATCTTGACAAAAGGAAACAGGTAGGGAAGCCTTGCAGCTTCACAGCCGGTATCCTACTGTGCATGCGTGAATCGCGCTGTGCTTTGTGAATGGGTCGCAGCCCTCTGAGACCTGTAAAATGTCTGAGTGCTGCGGGGAGGAAGGAGGGGGCAAACTTGTCAATACCCGGTACCCGCTCCCCCCAGAAGGTGCCAAATGTGGCAGAGGGGGGGGGGGGGGGGGCAGATAAGCAGAGCTTCCACTTTTGGGTGGAACTTTGCTTTAACTAGCCTTCCTGCAGTCTGGACCTTTCACCAACTGAAAATATTTAGCACATCTTGAAATGAAAAATATGACAAAGATGACCCAGAACTGTTGAGCAGTTAGAATCCTATTTCAGGCAAGAATGGGACAACATTCTTCTTCTAAAACGCCAGCAACCAGTCTCCTCAGTTCCCAGATGTTTATAAAGTGTTGTTGAAAGAAGAGGGGATGCCACACCGTGGTAAACATGGGCCTGTCCCAACTTTTTTTTGAGTGCTGATGCCACCAATTAAAAAAATGACCATATTTTAAACAACAGTTTTTACCCTTTAAGTCCATAGCCACTTGGATTTCTTTTTTTATCAATGAAAAGCTTTCCAGTATCATTTTAGATACACATGAGAAATTCCTTAAGATATGGACCCATGATTCCAATATGCCCACCCCTCTATGTCAACAACCAGTTACACATTGCTGTAAATACCGAGACCCTGGGTTCAGGTTCGAGCGCTTTTGATGTCCCCCTCTATATCTTTTTTTCTCTCTCCTCCATTTCCTTTCCTTTTTTCTAGGCTGTTCTGTAGGGATGATTTGTGATTTGCTCTTATGCACCTGTTTGTTTGGTTTTTTGAATAGTGCATTTCATACACTGATATCTCATTCACCAACACCTGATTCCACAATAAAGGCGCAGAGTTTCTCTATTGTTACTTATGTGGTTTTTCATGATCAATGTACCATTTTGATACACCAAAAGCTTTGTCATTTGTTACAGTTTTTTATACGATGTACAATAGCTTTGGCTTGCAAGCCATTGACATTATGTGTCTGTTTGTAAACATGACAGCGGTTATAAATGTATACCTTAAAAATGTTTTCAATAAAAATTTATTGAAAAGGAAAAAATTACCATAATTTTTTTCTTAAAATCTTACGTAGATTTTATAAAGCGTCCCAACTTTTTCAAAGTTGTAAACAATCCCTAGGCAAACTTTTCAGAAAAAGTACTTTTGAATATGAATGCATGGCGTATATTTCAAACTGTATGTCATATTAAAGTGGAATTTTAGGTTTAAAAAAAAACAAAAAAAAAAAAACAAACAAACCAGGCAGGAATTTTAATGCAGGAGAGACGTGCGCAGTTCATTGTACAAATTTGTAGAATCTGACTGAACGCCTGCGCATATGCAAGAGTGATGTCATTCCCGCCCGGCCAGTGACAGCGGCCGATGATCAAACCCAGGAACCCGAAGATGTCAGTGGCCGGGCGGGGTGCAGGGGGATATCGCAAAGCTAGAGCTGAGCATAGTTCCGCTTTAAGAAAACACATGATTTGGCAGTTTTCAAATGAAATGTCAGCTTTTCCAGCTGCAAGGCTCTACCATGAGGTTTCATGCAATACAATTCACTGTGACCATTAAAAAAAAATATATTTTATAAATAATGAATCACCTCACCTCAGAATCCACAAAATGTCTCTGATAGTAATAGAATCCTCTCCTGCAAAGATTACAGTGACCAAGAGCAGACCTCAAGAAATGTTTTCTGTAAACTTGGTGCCATGTGTCCTTAATCTGCAAAAGTTGTGATTTATTTTTTGCATAAACTTTCTTATGTAATAGAAATCAGCACATGAAAAAAAACAGTTAAAATCATCAGTAACCCAAACAGCAGAGGCTAGTTCAGCAATGGGCGGACCCGGCAGACCTTTTAATCCGGCCCGCGGAGCGTGGCAAACATTGGCTGTCAGGATGTAGGCAGGGCAGCGTGATGAACTCCTCTCCTCTCACAGTCCGCCCTGAAGACCGGAACGGCGCAGGGAACACGGCAAGAGGAAAACGTGGAGCAAAGGTAAGTGAATTGACACAATATGGGGGAATGGGGGGATGAATTACTATAGGGGGGATGAATTACTATGGGGGATGAATTACTATAGGGGGGATGAATTACTATATGGGGGATGAATTACTATAGGGGGGATGAATTACTATGGGGGGGATGAATTACTATGGGGGATGAATTACTATATGGGGGATGAATTACTATATGGGGGATGAATTACTATATGGGGGATTAATTATATATGGGGGATGGGGGATTAATTACTATGCTTACTATGGGGGAATATTACTATACTTACTATGGATGGCATGGTAGTGGCTGGGCCGGCCAGCAGCTAGTCCGGCCCCCGGGTCCAATATATGAACCCATTGCGGCCCTCAAGTCAAAAAGTTTGCTCACCCCTGGGCTAGTTATTTAACATACTGGGTACAATTCTTTATTTTGTGCAAAGGTACAAGTGGAGTATGTAAATATTGCATGTATATGCTAGGGTTACAATACATGTCAATATGTAATTTGAAGTGTTACAGTTGTGTGAGCATAGAAGCCTTTGGTTTCTCTCCTAGTAGAATGAAATAACAAGAAACACAGGTAGTCACCTTTCCCTTGCTTTTCATATGTCAGTGCCTGGGTAGTACTAGGGAATAACCAGGAAATAGTTAGCATGCATTTACTAAATTGCTGGTTTGTTTTGTGTTTCAGCTCACATGATGCTCTAGTGCATTCTGATGTTGATTAGGGGGGTATGCATGAGCTCTTCTGAGATATTTTACCTGTTAAAAGCTGAGAGGAGCAGATCGAGTAGCACTTAGGTTGTCAGTTCAAAAATGACTGACAGTATGTGGAGCAAACAATGAGTGAAAGACCATAGTGGTTGGACCATCGCTTAGCAAAAGAGAACATGAGGCCAACAGTCGAAGCAGTGTTGGGCCTCATTACTGGAAAGGTAATCAACAAGGATTAGTATTCATCGCAAAAGAGCTTTGATGGGCCTACTTTATTTTTACTGCTGATGTCAAGTCCTAGAATAAATTAGTAGTGTGGCTTAGTTGCGTGGTGTCTAGACAAAGTAAAACTACTGTTTTAAAGAATGGGCCACCAGATTTCAAGAGTGAACCCCTTGGGAATCAGGCTGCTAGCACAGTCAATACTGTATCTTTAGCATTTCTAAAGGAAACGTGTAAGTGTATCTAAACACAAAACCAAAAAAGTGATATACTGTGGCTTTCCAGCCTTAGATGTGGCAAGCAAAGATTTTCTCTTTCAAGCCTTGACCCGTCAAGACATCAGAAGGGCCACCTCTTCCCCCTTCAGTGCCTACGTGTCCCAGAAATGGCAACCACAGTGCCTGAAATGAATGTCACTCCACCTAGTTAAGTTGACTTTGAATGGAAGCAGACATGTCCACACTTCCCACAGCATGGAGGTTGGCCTGGGGAGTCTGGTAAATAAATTGAGGGAGCAACATCTGCTTCTAGCACAGGCCCTTCTCTTGTAAAAAAATAAAAAAAGAGGGAAGAAGGCTCCAGGAAAGCTACCCTGGTGTGAGAGTGTGTGTGTGTGTGTGTGTGTGGGGGTGTGTGTGTGTTCATCAAAAAGTTAATTTATTTCAGTAATTCAATTCAAAAAGTGAAATATATCACAGAGTGATACATTTCAAGCATTTCTAACTTTTAATTTTGATGATTATGGCTTGCAGCTAGTGAAAACCCAAAGTTCAGGAACTCAAAATTAGAATATTACATAAGACCAATAAAAAGGATTTTAATACAGAAATGTTTGCATATTGCAAAGTATAGTATGCACTTAATACTTGGTCAGGGCTCCTTTTGCATGAATTCCTGCATCAATGCAGCATGGCATGGAGGCTATCAGCCTGTGACACTGCTGAGGTGTTATGGAAGGTTGCTTGAGACACACCAGACCCAAAAGTGCAGATGTGCTGAAGGCCCAGGTTGCTTTGATAGTGGCCTTCAGCACATCTGCACTTTTGGGTCTGGTGTGTCTCATCTTCCTCTTGACAATATCCCATAGATTCTCTATGGGGTTTAGGTCAGGCAAGTTTGCTGGCCAATCAAGCACAGTTATACCATGATCATTAAACCAGGTATTGGTGCTTTTGGAAGTGTGGACAGGCACCAAGTCCTGCTGGAAAATGACACCAGCATCTCCATAAAGCTGGTCACCACAGAGAAGCATGAAGTGCTCTAAAATTTCCTGGTAGAGGGCTGCACTGACTTTGGACTTGATAAAACACAGTGGACCAACACCAGCAGATGACATGGCTCCCCAAATCACAGACTATGGAAACTTCACACTGGACCTCATGCAACTTGGATTCTGTGCCTCTCTTCTGCCAGACTCTGGGACCTTGATTTTCCAGATGAAATGCAAAATTTACTTCCGTCCGAAAAGAGGACTTTGGACCACTAAGCAACAGTCCAGTCCTTTCTCTCCTTAGCCCAGGTAAGACACTTCTAATGTTGTCTCTGGTTCAGGAGTGGCTTGACACAAGGAATGCGACAGTTGTAACCCATGTACTAGATACCTGTGTGTGTGGTGATTCTTGAAGCACTGACACCAGCCTTAGTCCACTCCTTGTGAATCTCCCCCAAATTCTTGAATGGCCTTTGCTTCACAATCCTCTCAAGGCTGCGGTTATCCCTGTTGCTTGTGCACCATTTTCTAATACACTTTTTCCTTCCACTCAACTTTCCATTAATATGCTTTGATACAGCGCACTGTGAACAGCCAGCTTATTCAGCAATGACCTTTTGTAAATTACCCTCCTTGTGGAGGTGTCAATGACTGTCTTATGGACAACTGTCATGTCAGTAGTCTTCCCCATGATTGTGTAACCAATTGAACCAGACTAAGAGACCATTTAAAGGCTCAGGAAACCTTTACAGGTGTTTTGAGTTAATTAGCTGTGACACCATGACTCTACAATGCTGAACTTTTTCACAATATTCTGATTTTCTGAGATACTGAATTTTGTGTTTTAACTAGCTGTAAGCCATAATCAAAACTAAAAGAAAGAAAAGATTGAAATTTATTTATACAAATCATTTTACTACATTCAATGTATTTAGTTGGTACTCACCAAGACTGGGTCAACTTCAACTCCCCGTGTTTCTAGATTCTTTCTGACTGTAGTGACTTCATCACTGGCAAGATATGCAGGATGATCTTCATTAATCTTCATCATCTTTTCAAGCTCATTTTTTGTTTCATTCCGTGTATGCTACATCCAGAAAACATAAGAGTCAAAATAAGAAGCTCCACTACCATATTAAAAAAAAATAAAAACACACACACACAACTTTTTTCATGTGTACTTGCCTGCTCTGGAGTACGAGATATCCAAGAAAACCACCGCTCTTTCCAGCCTGGGCCAACCATATCCCGTATGACAGATTCAGCTGAAAAATGGAAACCCAGCATCAGCTGTATAACCTGCTATCGTGACATAAAGATATCAGAAGACTAAAGTTGACACAGGCAAATATGTCAGGTAGTGAAGTGCAAAGAAGAAGAAAAATTAAATTATAAATATACACTAAAATATATAATATACGGCTCTACTTTCTAAACTCCAGTATGCACCACCACTGTATATACTATATTGCCTGCCAGCAACTGATTCCCCTATGTGACTAAACACAAGCACATAATGAAAAGTCTTCGATTTAAAAACTAGAAGACATGCTTGTATTTTTCCTTATATCTGGTCATGCGTAACGTATATACATTTCAAGAATGTGAAGAGAACCATTTTGTGCACTATATTAAAAAATTACTTACTATCTTTTAAGCGGCTTTGTAAGGTCTCCTCCATGAAATGTATTGCAGCATCCCACTGCTGCTTGTCTGAGATGGAACGGTCCTCTAAAGCATTGTGCTGAATTACTCGCTAAGCGAAAAAAAAAAAAAAAACATATATAATACATACACACACATATTATATAAATGTATACATATGTCATACCTGATCAATATTATCTAACTATAGAAAGCACAATATAACCAGTTTTAAACTCAACTATTGGCAAACAGAAAATTAAACATATAAAATACATTTAAAAAGCGGGCTATTTTATCTGTCCAAGGATGTGTATTTCTTTCAATCCTATCCTGGGAGCAACACAGTTCTGCCAGAGCAGCAAACCTGATATTTCTCTGCTGCAGTTTCACCTTCACTCACAGGTCTTCAACCCATCCTGTGACTTGATAGTTAAAAGAGAAGCAGGGACACTCATCATCTCATCTGTCACTTTGCTCACTCTTCCAATCGACATGCTCTTCATCGCAGCACACTTGACTCTTTGTGCGGCTTTGCTATCCCCTTCTCTGAGCTATGCTGTACATACTGTACAGTGGATTGAAAAAGGCTGATGCCAAGTCCACTTTGGGTACTTACAAGGCTTGCATTAAAAAAAAAATTAATACAGAGCTGCATTCAGTTATGTTTTTGTATCTGCATGGAGTTCAGCTTAATGAACTTAACGGATCCAGACAGACAGAGCTTATGTCAAGAGCACTGCTGATTATGAATGTACCAGATCTTATATACTTCTCACCTTTACTCAAATCTCACTAGAAAGGAAATGATCTGCAAGAAATCTAATTTTACATGCAATATCCCTTAATGTCAAGTATACTGTGTGAAATATTAGGCTAAAGACGTGATGGAAGCCAGAGCATGAGCCAAATACTAAAAGAGCAGAGCACGAGCATGAAATGCGCAGCACAGAGCATAAGCCAAGTAGTAAAACTTGGACTTCCTCCTATAACATAGTTAAGGCATGTATAATTGTTTCTCTAACTATAGCCCCACCTACTCTTCCCCCCAAAAAACTGATTCTACTTTTGAAAGACTGCAAAACTATAGTGATAAGTATTACTGGAGTTTAAAAGGCTAAAAGCAATGCAGGCATAGTAAGGAACTGTTCTCCACATAAAAAAGGGGGGAGGTGGGGGGGGGGGGGGTCACAGAATATATAACATAGATCATAAGATGGAACCCACCAAACTGTCTTCTGCTTGCTCATTCCACTTATGTCTCTTGATGCTCTCCTCTTTCACCGCTTCTTTTAGCTTGTCAAAAATGTCATCATGCTCCTTACCCTTCTGCTCTGTCATAAATCGGGAGAACTCCTCCTGAAGGGTTTCCCAAGCCACCTGCATAATGAGAGACAGTTATTAAAAGTGCACAGTACATTTTTTTTTAAAAGTGCCAAGCAAGGAAAAGAAACAAGTTTAGCTACCATCAGCTAAAATGTATGCTATGTTCACTTGAAAAAGTAACTCTGCTGTTTCCAGGTCTTAATCTTTACAGATTACCATTACTTGATTTACCAGATCTATTTTCTTGAAAAGAAAGTAATACTAAACTAAAACTAGCCACAAAAATGCACCCTTAACTCTGTTTAAAGTGGTCTAAAACAAAAAAGTTCTCTTTACCTTAATGCATTCTCTGCATTAAAGTAAAAAACCTTCATATACCTGCCCCCCCCATCCCTAAACACTTACTCGTGTCCTCTGTTGATCCAACAATGTGTCAAGTGTCCTGCTGCAGCTCTCACAGGAGATTGAAAGCAGTGTGAGCCATAGGCTCCTGCTGTCAAGTCAAATCTTGTGAGGAAGGGGTGCTGAGCCATGCTATGTGTGTCTATGGATGCACAAAGTCCGACTTAGAAGAGCATTGGTGCCCCTATAGCACATAGCTTGCAAAGGGGGCACCCACAATACGGAGTGGAGCGCATCGGAGGGGTACTCTAGAAAAGGAGGTAAGGGACCTTTGTGTGCAATACCATTGCACAGAGCAGGTAAGTAGTCTTCTTACGGTTGTAAGTTTTAATAACATTTAAGTTCATGCATATTACACTATGTGACTTCTTTTTTGCATCTAATATACAGCGAGTAAAATACACTGCTCAAAAAAATTAAAGGAACACTTTTTAATCAGAGTATAGCATCAAGTCAATTAAACTCCTGGGATATTGATCTGGTCAGTTAAGTAGCAGAGGGGGTTGTTAGTCAGTTTCAGCTGCTTTGATGTTAATGAAATTAACAGGTGCACTAGATGGGCAACAATGAGATGACCCCCAAAACAGGAATGGTTTTGCAGGTGGAGGCCACTGATACTTTTTTTCCCTACTCACCTTTTCTGACTGTTTTTAATTTGGCTAGGGTCAATGTCACTACTGGTAGCATGAGGCGATACCTGGACCCTACAGAGGTTACACAAGCAGTCCAACTCCTGCAGGATGGCACATCAACACGTGCCATTGATAGAAGGTTTGTGGTGTCTCCCAGCGCAGTCTCATGAGCATGGTTGAGATTCCAAGAGACAGGCAGTTACTCTAGGGAGAGCTGGACAGGGCCATACAAGGTCCTTAACCCATCAGCAGGTCTGATATCTGCTGCTTTGTGCAAGGAGGAACAGGATGAGCACTGCCAGAGCCCTACAAATGACCTCCAGGGGACCACTGATGTGAATGTCTCTGACCAAACAATCAGAAACAGACTTCATGAGGGTGGCCTGAGAACTCAATGTCCTCCAGTTAGTGGGCCCTGTGCTCACTGCCCCACACCATGGCGCTCGATTGGCATTTGCCATTGAACACCAGAATTGGCAGGTCCGCCACTGGCGCCCTGAGCTTTTCACAGATAAAAGCAGGTTCACCCTGAGCACATGTGACAGACATGAATGGGTCTGGAGAAGCCATAGAAAATGTTAAGCTGCCTGTAACATCATTTAGCATGACCGTTTTGGTGGTGGGTCAGCGATGGTCTGGGATGGCATATCCATGAGGGATGCACAGACCTCTACAGGCTAGACAAGGCACCCTGACTACCATTAGGTAACAGGATGAAATCCTTGGACCCATTGTCAGCCCCTACGCTCGTGCAGTGAGTCTTGGGTACCTCCTGGTGCACAATGCCCAGCCTCATGTGGCGAGAGTATGCAGGCAGTTCCTGGAGGATGAAGGAATTGATACCATTCAATGGCCCCCCACACTCACCTGACCTAAATCCAATAGAACACCTCTGGGATATTATGTTTGGGTCCAGCCGCTGCCAAGTTGCACCTCAGACTGTTCAGGAGCTCAGTGATGCCCTGGTCCAGATCTGGGAGGAAATACCCCAGGACATCATCCCTCATCTCATTAGGCGCATGCCTCAACGTTGTCAGGCATGCATACAAGCACATGGGGGCCATACAAACTACGGAGTACATTTTGAGTTGCTGCAATGAAATTTCTGCAAAATGGACTAGCCAGCAGCATCATTTTTTCCACTTTGATTTTCGGGGTGTCTTTGAACTCAGTCATCTGTAGGTTGATAATCTTCATTTCCAATAATGGAGCACTTGGATGGACTTTACATATTAGAATGAACTGCATTATTATTTAAGAAACTACTGTGATAATTAGCTAACTTGCATATTTAACATATTTCATTTGACATACTGCACTGTATATTGAAGGGTATTCATTATTTATTTTGCACACAAATATTTTTGGTAGGTTGTATGCACCTTAGTTTGGACACAACTTCATTTGCATATATTTGCTTTGTGCACATATGGAGTAGTTTTTTATATTGTAACATCATTATTACTTTTTGTAAACTATTGCTTTAGTTGTAGCACAGCCACTTTATTATGCTGAGAGATGTTTATATATGGCTCATATACTAGTTGTGGCGTGAATATTTTTAAAGAGATAGCGCACTTTTTGGTTTCCTAATTATACACTTTTTGGTTTCTTAATTAGCCCAATTAGTTTTAAAATGTTTTACTAGCTCTTCCTTGTTAGTACCACTTACTACGCCAGCTTTTTGTTGCACTACCCCAATTTTTTTGAGACGTGTTGCTGCCACCAATTTCAAAATTACCTTATTTTTTTCTTAAAATGGTACATTTTCTCAGTTTAAACATTTGACATGTTTTATATTTTCGATCGTGAATAAAATGTGGGTTTCTGAGATTTGCCAATCATTGCATTCTGTCTTCATGTAGATTTTACACAGCGTCCCAAATTTTTGGGAATTGGGGTTGTAGAAAATTCATTTGCTTTAGTGTTATTTTTGCAAAGCAAAATATACTATATTGTTCAAGTTAAAATTTTGTCTCTAGAAAACAAATGGATCACATATATGTACATGTCACGACTGTGTACAGTACCATAAAGTCCTTTTTCTCACCTCCACTGCTTTATGAGGCAGTTGTTTGTCAGTCCATTGTTTCAGTTTGATGTCTACAGTGGTGTTGAAAGTACCAGAGTTCAAGGTCTGTGCAGCTGGTAGGTAAATGTTCTCAATCACATGGGTGGACACTCTCTCCCACAGTGTTCTCTGGAGGATCTCTTCCCTAATATGGGAACAAATGAAAACCAACAATGACTGCACAGTTCTTATCCAGTTAAAAAAGCATAATCATTACAGTTGCACCGACAGACCTTCATAAAATAATATCCCAACAAACTCATAATACTTGCTTTATCAGTAATTAACCTGTTGACTGCAGAAAACAAGTTGAGTTTATGGCAATTATGTCCTCAAAGCTACAAAAAATCAGTATAAAACATACTGCAAGCTTAATACGATCTCACTACTAATGCAAGAAAAAACACAGAATCACTTGCAACTGCTTATAAACTTGGATAATTAAAATATGGCGATTCTCACTGTAGTGATTAGATCTGTAAGAACAGATCATTTCTGAAAAAAGAACAGGCATTTTGCTTATCTATAAATTCCTTAACTTGAGGTATAGCACAGGACCTAGGAGACATATTCATAGACCATGAGTTATATCCACCTACCTAAAAAAAAACCAAAAAACAACTTGCTAGTGCCGCCTACAGAGCGCACCATATAATCCCACCCACTCTGTAGGACTCCAGGTTAACAGGAAAAAGAGTGATCAAGACACAAAGGGGTGGGACCAGTTTCCTGAGACCATGGGGCATTTCCCAGCAATCAGCAGAAGGGTGGGCAACAACATAGCAAACAAAACTACCAACAGGCCCATAAGAAAACAAGAGTTTTAAAAAAAACCCAAACATTCAAATAAACAGCTTGAAGCACCTTGTGGCCGAAGATCACATCAACTGAAGCCTGAACACTCCCCTTGTAAAATTTGGAATCTGGAAAGCAGATACTTGATTCTGGAAAGCCCAACAGGCACCAACATCCCTTGTGGAATGGGCTCTGATAGGGAAAAAGGAGGAGCCCTTTCCTTAAGGGTGTATGCACTAGAAATGAATGGTCTGATCCACCTAGCAATCAGAGTGGGAAGCAGGATGCCCTCTAAGAGAGCCTATGGGAAGGATGAAGAGGGACTCAAGTTTTGCAAATAGAGGCTGTAGGTTTCAGGTAGACCTTGAAAGCCCTCACCACATCCAGGCAATGTAGGGCAATTTACTAGTCATATTTTAGGGCAGGACAGAGGGAAAGAACAAGGTCCACACTGAGGTGGAAAAGAAAAGACAACCTTGGGTAGGAAGGAAGGTTTCAAAATCACTCTATTGTTGTGCAAAACAAGAAAGGGCTCTTTACAGTTAAAGTGATACAAAAGGGTTTTTTTTTTTTTTAAATAACATGTTATACTTACCAGGTCTGTGCAGGGATTTCACACAGCAGCCCTGATCCACCTCTTCTCGGGTCCCCCTTCAGAGCTCTGGGCTCCTACCCCCCTGCTGAGTGCCCCCACAGCAAGCTGCTTGCAATAGGGGGCACTCGTGCTTGCTCATGAGCCCCGCTCTGAGAGTCCATAAAGACAAGCAGAAATGGGTTTGGCCTCACTTCTGCTCCTTCCTTACTGCCTGCAATTGACAGCAGTGGGAGCCAATGGTTTCTGAGTCACATCGCTGCATCAGGAACGGGGGTTGGGCAAGTATAAGGGGGGAAGGGGGGCGCGAAGGGAGCTGCATACTGAAGGGTTTTTACCTTCCTGCATAGCATGCACAAAGGTAAAAACATTCAGGTTTAACAACTACTTTAAGAGCTGCCAAATCAGAAAAATGCCTAACAGATGTAACAGCTACCTAAAATGCAAACTTACAAGTGAGCTCTTCCAATGGAATAACACCAATTGATTCAAAGGGAGGTCATTGAAGATCCAAGAGCACCAGGTTGGAGTGATGTATAAGAGCATCTCCCTTGTAGAAAACTCCTGCTTAGGGACTGAGAGCCAAGAAGTTTCTGGAAGAGAATGAAAGCAGAAACCTACTCAAGGTCAGGAGTTGGTCAAGACTAGACTAAAGCAAGGCCAAGATATGAATGCTAGAGTATTCCCTGAGACCGAGCTTCCTATTCTTGCATCAGGCAAAGTAAGCCTTCCATGCGCAAATGGTAAATCCTGCGGGAGTTGGATTTTCTTGCTGTGAGTAAAGTGGAACTAAAAGAGTCAGAAATCCCCCTATCCTTCAGGACTTGCAGTAGATTTAAACAGCCATGCTGTTAATGCCAGCAACTAAGAAGCAGGAGGAAATAATGGGCCTTTGGCCTAGAGATCTGGTCGGTTTGGAAGAGTCCAAGGCTCATCCACCAGTATGAGTATGTCAGTCTACCATGTTCTTATGAGCCAATTTGGTGCGATGAGATCAAGGGAATTCTTTGCTCCTCTTGTACAGCAGTTGAGGGAGGATCTTAATCAGAGAGAAGATCTCAGTCTGCATGAATTGAGTCCAAGGCAGCTTCAGAAGATCCACTGTAAATGATAGAGGATCCCAGGTCTTTGCTGCAAATTTGCTGAGCTTGCTGTTGAACCTGAAGACCAGGATGTCCACATTTGGTTTTCCTCTCCTTTGACAAAGATTTTGAAGGGCAATTTTAAGGCAAGTTAAGTTTAAGCTGGAATTCTACTTTAAGAAGTCCCCTTTCCAATTGTCCATTCCAGTGTTTCCGCCTGGGAGAGTATCACACTCCTTTCTTTAAGGGCAGCTGGACTTCTAGTGCCTCTCGATGTTTTATGTAGGCCACTGCTGTGGCACTGTCTGACTGTACTCTAACTGGGTAACCTTGCAGAAGGGAGGTCCAGTTTTGCAGTGTTGGCTCACAGTTCCATAATGTTTTGACTCCTGTGAGGGATCAGGTTTTCCCCAGACAGTCAGAGAACTACAAAATTTGCCCCAGCCTATAAGGCTGGAATTTGCGGTCACAACCTTTCCAGGGCATACAGAAGCACTTGGCGATTGAAGGATTGGATATGTTTGTTTCACGTTAAATTGTTGGATTGAAGAGGTCTAAAAGGGAAACCGGGCAAAGTAAACGTAATCGCAGAAAGCTACTCTCAAGCCCACAACCTTCATGCAAACTGCGTTTTGACCTGAGGGTCCTCATTTGAGACTGTAAGGAAGCAACCTTCTTTTGAGAAAGAAAAATTCTGGTTTTGGGCTGTGTCCAAGCTTTGTCCCAGGCACTACTGGCTTCAGGTGATGACCTGAGCACTGGTGTCTTACCTCTACTGGGTAGTCAAAACAGTCTTGCCACCCAAAAACATGTTATCTCTTCCTCTTCTATGCATCCTACTATGCTAGATGGGAGATAGTCCTCAAGTGGAAATTACCATCACTCCCTGTCAAATGGCTGGAGACAGACCCCCTACATCCAACCTTCCTCTTCCCCCTACATATAGAATAATTTGTTGAGTAAACTGATGGGTAATTGGCAGTACCGCATCCGTGTACTTATGAACCAAAGAGAATAGAGAAAATCTTTAACAGCATATTTATATTATATAAAAATCATATTTATTGAAAAGTATTAATTAAAATCATATATTAAAAAGATTACAGATGGTTGTATTCTTACATCTGAAATAATATAGCACAAAGGTTTTCTTTCTATTTCAGATGAAAAAGGAGTACCCCTTTAAACCTGTTAACTGTACAGGTTTAAAACCACTGCTATGAAACATAGTCTGACAGAAACTTAACAGCAAGTGTTATAATTGATGCTACATCTTACCTTGATTGGGTAAATACATTTTTAAAGACATTTTTACAAAACGCACCCAGTACAGTTTCGAATAAAGTGTCCATATTGTGTAACGTTGCCTACAAATAAAATTGGAGCTCTAAAAACTTTCCTTCTAGATTTGGATGCAGTGGTGAATGGTAAGAACCACTCCTTTTTTCACATAACTGAGTAGCACATCTTTGAAAGTTGTTACTGGAATCAATGTCCCTAAAAGGAAATTTCCCCATGCATTCTATTTTCATGACAACTGTAACATATTTTCTGTCCTTTTGACAATTTTGTAAGCCTTCAATAATCTATCCAAAAATAAGAACAACATTTTGGCAAGAGTTCAATTTAACTTGATTTTAAATTGTAAAACTAAACTATAATGAACAATAACATTTCAACTACTCACCAATGCTTTGGTGTAACCTGGGTAAGACTGATAACTTCATCAAGGATTTCATTCTTGGCTTTTTCAAACAGTTCATTCTAAAACGGGAATATGAGATCACAAAATTAAATCATACAATGGTTGCTGAAACTTATTAAGAAGGTACTGAAAAGTGAAAAACAATGTCATTATTTGCAAAGCACAGCTCTCCAAATAAAAGACTACAAGCCAAAGTGGTTTTTGTTTGACGTTTATTTACCAAGAATTCACATCACCTTGTGCAGATTCTATAAAGAAGTCAGTTATTTTTTTATTAAAATAGCTTGGGTTTAGAAGATGTGCTTGTATTTGTGTTATATTATACTTTACCCTGTCAAGCTCACGCAGCCTGGGATAATTATTCTTCCATTCCGTTTCCAGATTAAAACGAGTAGCTAGAAAATATTGAACACTCACGTCAACCTTATTTCACAAGTTCATATATTTTTTTTACTTTTAGTCATGATTGTTTTGATGCAAGCTATTTGTATTAATGTACTGCTGTTACTTAAATAATGTTAGATGAAGATAAGGTATATTTTCAAGATGTGCATGTGGAAGACGGGAGCATGGGCTAAATGCTACCTTTGAAAGCATCAGCCTGTTGTTCTACAGATGCCCGGACCATTTTCCAAAAACAATCGGAAACAGCAAGACTTAAATTCTTGGTGGTGACCTGATGAGCCTTCAGCATCCCTTTTCTAGGAGGTAAGCAGTAACACAGATGCCATCACTAACACAGCAACACAACAATACACAATATATAAACCTAAAATGTTTTGTCTTTGAGCCCTTGATAAATAGCATGGCTTTTAATTTTAGTCAAGACATAACTTACTTCAAAAGACTTGATCCTTGAAAGAATTCTTCTTCATAGTCCTTGATGGAGTCAATGCTTTCATTGCTGTTGCCTAATAAAATTAAAATAAAAAAATGTAAATAAAAATCAATGAACTTGCAATATAGGAATGTAACAAGAGTAATGGATATTTTCAGTCAGCTGGATTCTGACACCTAGTTCTGGTCATACACATCGTACATTAACCGCTTAAGGACTGCCCTATAGCATATATACTGCTACAGGGTGACCCCTGTGCGCAAAATCACCTATATAAATGTCATTTTTCATTTCCGGATAAGGGGCGCACGCCCTACCCGCGCCCCGCAGGGGTCAATCACCGGGTCCCGCCCGGTGATTATCGGTGATCACCGACAGGGAGCAGGGCTGCTTTGTTTACCAACAGTTCTCCTCCCTGCCAGTTTGGGCACACTGCTCTGGATGGCTATGCACAGCCATCCAGGGCAGTGTCCTTACAGTGAAGAACACCCCCCTCCCCACCCTAGTAAAACACTCCCATCACACAGTTAACCCTTTGATTGCCCCTCATGTTAACCCCTCCCTGCCAAGTGCCATTAGTACAGTGTCTGTGCTTTTTTTTTTTTTTTTTTTTTTTGTAGCACTGATCACTGTATTGGTGTCACTGGGAATGTCAGTGACACCAAGTCAGTTCCCCCCCAGTGTTAAGAGGTCTTGTGAGGAGCGGAGAGTGCGTGTTGGGTGGTACTTGGATATTAGGTCGGTGATGTAGTTTGGGGCAGTATGATGGACAGCTTTGTATGTCAGTGTTAGGATTTTGAATTTGATCCGTTGGGCAATCGGAAGCCAGTGGAGGAATTGGCAGAGGGGGGGAAAGGAAACGGAGCAGTTGGTAAGGTGGATAAGTCTGGCTGCCGTATTCAGGATCGACTGAAGTGGGGATAGCCTGTGGCGAGGCAGGCCAGTGAGGAGGGAGTTGCAGTAATCGAGTCATGATATGATGAGGGAGTAGATGAGCTGCTTAGTGGTTTCTGGGGTTAGGAACGTGCGTATTTTGGTGACGTTGCGGAGGTGGAGTCTGCATGAGTTTGTTAGTGATTGGACTTGGGGCTGGAAGGATAGATTGGAGTCAAGAATGACACCAAGTACTCTGGCCTGCGGGGCGGGCCTGATGGTGGTATTGTTGGACGTGATGGAGAAGTCAGTGGGGGGTGGTGTGAGGGCTGGGGGGAAGACTAGGAGCTCAATTTTGGAGAGGTTCAGTTTAAGGAAGTGGAGCGACATCCAGTCTGATATGTCGTTCAGTAGGTTTGTGATTCGGGCGGAGAATGAGGGGGTGAGGCGAGAGATAGATTTGCGCATCGTCAGCATAGAGGTAGTAGTTGAAGCCGTGAGAGTGTATGAGTTGGCCAAGGGAGGAGGTGTGTGATGGAGGAGAGAAGGGGCCCGAGGACAGAGCCTTGAAGGACCCGAAAAGAGAGGGGGAGTGAGGGGGAGGTGGTAGCGTTATAGGTAACGCTGAAGGAGCGTTGTGACAGGTAGGACAAGAGCCAGGAGAGAGCGGAATCTCTGAGGCCAAGGGAGTGTAGTTTTTTGAGGAGGAGGGGGTGGTCGACTGTGTCGAAAGCCGTGGAGAGGTCGAGGAGTAGGAGCACTGAATAGTGGCCATTAGCTTTGGCTGTTAGCAGGTCGTTGGAGAGTTTGAGTAAGGCAGTTTCGGTGGAGTGTAGGGGGGACGCAAGCCGGACTGTAGGGGATCGAGGAGGTTGTCGTCATTGAGGTGGGAGCTTAGGCGATTGTAGACTAAGCACTCGAGGAGTTTGGACGTAAGTGGCAGCAGGGAGATGGGTCTAAGGTTGTTTGGGTCAGTGGGGTGCAGGGAGGGCTTTTTAAGTATGGGAGTGATGTGCGTGTGCTTCAGAGGGGAGGGGAATGCGCCGGAAGAGAGGGAGAGATTAAAGATGTGGGTGAGGGAGCGTAGCATGGAGGAGGAGGGAGGTCCTAGTAGTTGTGTGGGGATAGGGTCGAGGGGGCAGGTGGTGAGGGGGGCTTCAGAGAAGACCTTGGTGACCTCCTCAATGGTAGTAAGGTCGAAGGAGTGGAGTGTTGAGGGGGCTTCAATCTGAGGAATGTTAGGTGGGGTGGAGGTCAGAACAGTGGTGAGGCCAAGGGAGAGGGGTGATGAGGGGGTTGCTGTGTGAGAGGGGATGGGTGGGGAGGAAGTTTGAGCAGCGGCGATGTCCCCGCCAATTGTGTCAATCTTGTTTTTTAAGTGAATGGCAATCTCAAGGGCGGTGAGTGAGGTACTGGGTGGGGGTGGGGGCGAAGAGAGTAGAGAGTTGAAGGTGACGAAGAGCCGGCGAGGATTGGAGGAGAGGGTCTTGATGAGGGTCAGGAAGTAGGCTTGTTTGGCAGCGTGGAGGGAGGAGGTGTAGGTGTGGAAGGCAGATTTATAGCGGGTGAACGCTAGTTGGGATCTGGTTTTGCGCCATAGTCGCTCCAGCGCACAACTGCGTCGTTTAAGAGTTTTGGTGTGATCAGTCTGCCAGGTCTGGAGCGGTCGGGGTCTGATGTTTCTGCTGTGGCCCCTGGAGCCAATGGAGAGGGCCAGGGGCCGCATGCATGCTGCCCTAGCAGCGGGTCAGACAACAGAGGCCAAAGGGCAGAGCGGCGGCGTTGCGATCCGGCGGTGGCGTCACGATCCGGCCACGATTTTATGAGAGGCCGCGGCTTCATAGGCCGCGATTTCCGGAGGGGGCCCAAATTGCTCGGCACCCCTCCCTGGATGCTCATCAGGGGCCACAGGTGCTCTGGGGGCCTCTGTAGTACAGTGATCAGTCACTGTGCAGCCCGGACCCCTTGTTTTTTTTTTCCTCTCTCTATGAATGGAGAAGAGAGATACATTGTAAAAAAAAATGTTTGTAAAAAAAAAAATAATTTGTAAACAAAAAAAAAAAAATAAATAAATATTAAAAAATAAAATAACAAATAAAGAAAAAATACCTAGATCAAGAATTGATCTAGTTCAGTGCCAGGGTAAGTGTTTGGGTCAATGCCAGGGTCAAAGGTTAAGGTCAAAAGGTCAGTGTCAAAGGTCAGGAATAAAAAAAAAATTGGTGTCAGTTAGTGTCAATGTCAGTGTGTTTTAGGTGAAAAAAAAAAAAAAAAAGACAAAAACAAAATGCGCACTGTTGTTTCTGGGCTGTACTATGGGTACAAACAACAAATAACATACACATATATGGTATCGCTGGGATCGTCAAGAGCTGGAAATTTTATTTTGGGTTGTTCTTAGGTGGTAGGTTATGGTAGTAAGTAGAAACACACAGCTAAATAAAAAAAAAATATTTTTTTTTTTTTACTATTTTGGGTCAGTTTTCATTTAATAATAATAATAAAAAAAAAAAATCAAGAGATATCCATTACCATTTACCACCAAATGAAAGCCCAATTTGTCCTGAAAAAAAACGTGGTATAATTCACCTGGATGTACAAAGTAGTTGTGATGATATGTACAGTTTTACTAACACATGTCAACTTTGCAAAATTGTGCTTAGGCATTTAGATTTGTTTTACCCTGAAGGGGAAGGGGTTAATATAATCTTGTTTGAAAACTAGAAATTCAATTTTACTAAAACCCTAATTTGAATAATTTAGAATAGATAATAATGTACAATATATGCATTGCTCTTACCTTTTCCAGTTACAACAGCAAAATACCCAAGTGCTTTCATTGGGAATAGTTTTCCTTCAATTATTTGCTGAATCTGATGAGATAACAAGTAAAGAAATGTTATTATAGCAGCATTTTAGCAAGCTTTTACTGGAGATTGCAGGAGTGATCATGTGCAGCAGTCCACTTACTCGATTAGGGCTGGCTACATTCTTCTCAGCAAGGTCTACCTTGGTCAAGACAAAAATGGTGCGTCTGCCTTGGGGATCCATTTGGCTTACAAGGTCAGTGACAATGCTTCTTTCTGCATCAACAGACCCATCTGTAAAACAGAGGGGAACATAAATATTAATGGGTCAGTCTGTCTAAAACCGATAAAATAGTTCTGGGTAAATACAACTCATTCGTACATAGCTTGGGGACACTGAATACAAGTTCTTCATGCAGAGGCTCCCAAGAATCCATACCAGCTGAAGTTTGGGACTTTTCACTTGCTTTACAGAGATTTAGTTGGGAAGTTTTAAATCCCAACAGTTGTTCTACAAAGCACTGTTACAGCTTAAGGTGCAGAACAATATTTTTGACATCTTCCACACAGCTCAACTGAATGAAAAACGCCATCTGAAAAACTCAACAGTGAAAATGGAACATAAAAGTTATTAAGGTGACAATGCTGGAAATGTTACCGAGAGGTTTCCAAATCAAAGCAGAATCATCTGAGTATTTAGCCTACCAACTGAAAACCCATAAAAACGGAAATGTTTGAGTAAACTTATTTAATTCAAATTAATTTTGGAAAAAAAAAAAAAAAAAAAACATAGTTTCCCACTATTCATATTTGCACTGAAGGTGTTTTATGCATGTTATTTATCTAGAAAAGACTCCCTTGTGTTATCCAAAAGCCCCAGGACTGCTGCTTGGTGCCATCATCTTGGATGTGATGTCATCAGTGACACTCTCTATAGCATTCCCCTTCACTCCTCACCCGGCTGCTACATAAAAGGTTATGAAGGCAAGTGAGGGAAGGGGGTGGAGGAAGAGCTAGGCCAGCCCAGACAGCAATTAAACAATCCCATATGAGGAGAGGGCCATGATATGCAAGGAGGGAGGGGGCTGGGCAAGGGAAATGACTTCATGTAGTAGTAAAATTTTACAGCAAGCTCAAGGGCACATTGCAAGTGCATGAAAAAAAATGTAAAGGAAAGCACTACAAGTGAGAGTTTAAATAATTTTTCAGAGCTTTTACCTGCCATTGTTTAAGTTAGTGACAGGGTCTACTTAAGGATCTACAAATTCATGTGACTGTGCGCTACCAACCAAGGAAGATGTAACTGATGCTTGTGTGCAATCCGCCACAGGCACAATCATTTCCAATTTATCTGCTGGTTAGAACTTTTCCACCTACAGGTGATTTAGGTATGTTTTTAAACTGCTTTCAAGGGAAAATGAATAGCTGAAATGCAGAAAGTGCATGGAATTATCTTCCAGGCACCCACTCTATCTCCAGTGCATGCAGTGAAAGGCATGTTTAAAATACCAATTTCCTAGATTGATTACACATTTTTATAAAGGAACTAGCACACACAGATACTATCGCTTTGCCCTGAATGGCCAAAGAGATTGTCCCTCTAAATATAACAGTCATAACAAGATAGGACAGTTGTACTCCACGAACACATCTGAAAACACCCAATAATTTTAATTCTACAACAATTAACAATTAACTAGAAAATAATATCTGTCGAATTAACACAATACATTACAGTTGATATACATGACAGTTGCCATATTTCTATACTCAAAGGTTCATGGCAGTCAGGAGGGGCAGAGCCAGACACAATGGCATTATTACAGCTTAAACCAGTTCCAATCATATGCCTATCCAAAGTTCTATGAGCACAATCACTGCTGCCAGCTGGCCCCTTGATGAATAGAGAGAACTATGCAAATAGAGCTTGTCTTCCACTCTTTAGATGTAAAAGGGCATCTCTGGATTCACAATACATGTGTTAGGTCCCGCTATGTGGGGAGGTGCACATAGAAACAAGAGAAGGAACTTGTTGCTGTATGTGGCTCCCATGACAGCCTTCCAATGTTATCTCTCAGATTTAAGGCTGACAGCTTGAGCATGCATTCCTGCATGGGCTCAGCATTGACAGGATTCAACTGTTCACAAGTGTTGGATATTTTCTTTGTGTAGACCATCAAAAAAAAAAAAAAAAGTGGGGAACCTTTTTAACATGTATTACTCCTGTAAATGTTTTATTTACAAAGTGAAGCCTGGTAACAGGGTCTCTAATGTTATGAGATGTACTATCCAAACACTTTTAGGAAACAATGAATTTTTAGAGAAAAAAAAGTGTCACTACTCACCAACATTTTATAAGTGCTAAACACACCTCAGACTATATGTGCATCATCTTAAAGCAGAACTTCACTCTCTCAATCAACATGGACTCTTTAATCCTTATGCTGCTAGCATTAGTAAATTGATGGGAAAGTATATCATATTTACTTGTTTTAAACTTTCTTATACATTTGTTCAGTTACTTCCTGGATTCCATGACTAGGCATATGATGTCATACATCCCACCAGTCTTCAGGAGAGGAGGAAGGGTTCTCAGCGCAGATAATGTTTGAGCTAAGGGCAGATGGACTCTAGGAAGTAAATGCTACATTAATCATCTGTGCTTACTCAAGATGGCAACGGCCAGAAATGCTAGGGGGTGAAATCAAAGTGAGTTCTCAGCAAAATAAAGAATGGAGACATGGATGGATGGGTGAGTTTGCTTTGAATATTAACAATGAATTAAATAGCATTTTTGGTTTTTTGTGCTCAGTTGCAATGCAGTTCCACTTTAAGTATGTCCAGCACCAAGGCTGGCAATAGATGATATGCTTTTTTTTTTCCTCAGTCAGCCAGAGGGCTGATAAGAAAACCCCCCCCCCCCCCAAAAAAAGCAAATTCCCCATACGTGCAAGCGAGGTGGATAGAGGAAACTTCCTCGCGCTATTGTATTCTGACTGTAGGGGCTCCTCTGCTGTCAGAATACGCTGATCATCCGATTGGCTGCAGTCACTGATCAAATAAAAGTTTTAAAAACATTCCTGATTAAATGACCTGTCGATTGGGAACGCCTTAGATGGGTGGAATTTAGCAGGTTCAGCAGTAATTGTGATCCATCGATGGCTTAAAGTAGATCTAAAGGCTGAAGGTTTTTAACCTTCATACATTCTATGCATTCCCCCACCCTTTCCCGATACTTACCTGAGCCTGATCTCGATTCAGCAATGTGTATGAGAGCAGTGGCTCCCCCCGGTCTCCGCCTCCTCATTGGCTGAGACACTGCTGTTAATTACAGCCAATGAGGATGGATGGGGGGGGGGTGGAGCTGAGCTGCACTATGCGTGTCTTATGAACACACAGAGGCAGTTCAAGAGCAAACACGCACGAGTATCCCCAGAGCAATTAGCTTGCTCTGGTGGCACTCAGCAAAGAGCCAGGACTGTTCTGTGCAAAACCATTGCACAGAACAGGCAAGTATGACAAGTTTGTTAATGAAAAAGAAAAAAAAAAAGCTGAACCTCTAGCATTGCCTTATGAAGTGTCAGTTAGCATAAACTTTATCAGGAACTTGTAGTGTCTCTCTATTGGAAGTATCTGGAGTCCCAGGTGCTGTGAATAAATTCCTTACTTTTGGAAACAGAACTAAAATGGTCACCTTGTATACAGAGGATAATAGCATTAGGGTTCTGCATATATGCTTTACTGATGCTAAAGATGGTTTCTTTGGTATCTGGAGCCATCCCAGAAGTGACCGTCTGTAACAAAAAAAAAAAAAAAAAAAAAAGGGGCAATCAAATGTAAAAACATTCAATGTGTGCAGAACATTTGGAACATAACAGTGTATGTTACCTACACTGATAACTCCTGGGAGATCCACAAGCACCATTCTCTGGATTCCAGGACCTTTTACGCTTAGAGAAATGGTCTGTGGAAAGCATAATGCCAGATTTAAAGATTTTACAGAGAAAGGAATGAATATCTTACTTATACTGCAATACATACAATACTAGAATTACCTCAGGGCTTACAGTCTGTCCATTCTTCACACTTTTTCTCATTCGTACTTCTATTTCATCCCTCAAAGCTGCAAGCTGCCAGCAGAAAGAACCCAATGTCAGAACACAATACACACAATGGGTAACAGGTATTATTAGACTTTCCGTGCACAAAGATAAAAGTTACAATAATGCCAATTGATTGGACTTATACTGCCAGTCAGAATGAAGACACTGAGCTAAATTTACTGGTTCCCAGTGTGGGCTGTTATCATTTGGACTTTAAAGCCATGGCTGTGAATGGGATATCTACATAATTTTTCACTAAGCTAAAGCTTTGGTTGGAGCTCTCAGTGGAGTAGAGGGAGAATTAAAAAAAAAAACTGTGAAGGTTTGGGAAAACCTGGGTCTTCACTAAACAGCATACATATTGTGGGCTCACATAGAACCTATACAAACCTAAAACCCACTAAAGTATTTAAAGTGGAACTTAACTCTCTCAATCAGGGGCGGACTGACCATTTGGGAACTCGGGCACTGCCCGAGGGCCCTGGGTCAGTAGGGGGCCCCATGAGAAGACCCTGGTACCTTTTTCATAGGCTTTTTTGGGTGTGGGTGAGGACACAGGGGCCCCATGATCCCCTATTGCCTGGGGGCGCCATGAGTTGTCAGTCCGCCCCTGCTCTCAATCAACATGGACTATTTTTATTCCTTATGCTTCTACCACTGGTAAATGGATAAGAAAGTATATCATTTTTATTTGTTGTAAACATTTTTTTAAAAAACTCTTTTTTACATTTCTTCAATTACTCCCCGTTTCCACGCCTAGGCAAATTATGTCATACATCCCAGCAGTCTTCAGAAGGGGATGGAGGGTTCTCAGCTCAGACAATGCCTGTGCTAAAGACAGGTGGATTCCAGGAAGAAAATGCTAAAGGATTCACCTGCTCTTACTCAAGATGGCCACTGCCAGAAATGCCAGGGGTGTTTTTTCAGCAAAATAAATCATGGAGACATAGGTGGATGGGGGAGTCTGTTTTGAATATCAACAATGGATTAAATAGCATTATTGTTTGTGGTGGTCACATACTGTGCAGTTCCACTTTAAAGAAAATCTTTAAACACAAAAGCTATGAATGCACGTCTATTTAAATATATGGTCATGTTACAAAGTGATTGCACACTGTGTACTTAATACATGGCAATATATTACAATCTCAAAATATGATGGTCTTAGACTATATACTTCAATGTATAACTATATATAATAAAATCTTACAGTGTGATTCTCTGAAAACATGTATTTACGTCCAGGAAAACCGTGAATTATACTGTCCAAAAGAAATATTATTGGACGTAAAAATTGAACATGGTATATACCATTGCTGTTTTGTATCTGGAAATGCCTGTTGAAATGAAGACGATCCCTTTTACCCAATCTCTGATGGATAATGCACAAAAAATCATCTGTTTTACTGTTAGACAGCATAACCCATGTTACCATTTGGTTTTAATGAAAGTGTGTCCTATAGGACTGCTGTGTGCTCCTTTATGAATAGATACTTACATCTGATTCCTTTGTGAGATCAAACTCCCGGGAGCTGTCCTTAAACATAGCAACATGGTGAGGACCCTCACTGAGAGTAACCTGAAACAATACAATAGGCATTTCAAACAGTTTTTACCAATCATTATTAACCCATTAGCCGCCCGGCCAATGGCCGTTTGGCGGCTTCAAATGCGCTCCTGTATTCCGGGTACGCCATTTGGCGTGCTCGTGCACGCAGTTTGCGCTAATGCAGAGCGGCGCAGCAGCGCGATCTGTCACCGGCCGTGCACCTCGGACACGGCCGATGACAGATCCGAGTACCGGCTCCCGTAGCTGGTACCATGTGACCTGCTGTGACCAATCACAGCAGGTCACATGATAGTTGTGTATATTGGATGGCTTCATTTATGATGCCATCCATTATATACTAGTGCCTAGCTGTGAATGGTCACAGCTAATCACATGCACATGTCATGTGATTAGCTGTGACCAAATCACAGCTAAGCACAAAAAAAGAAAAAAAAAAAAAAGCTGAATGAATCGATTTCATTCAGCTAAATGCTTGCTTATAGCAAAGTAATTCTTTGCTATAAGCAAACTGTGTAAAAAAAAAAAAAAAATACTGATCACTTCCCCAAAGTAGTACAATGTTACTATTGTAACATTGTACTACTTTGGTCATAGTAAAATATGAAAAAAAAATTTAAAAAAATGTAATAAAAAAATTAAATATAATAAAAAAAAAAATATATATATATATTTTTTTCCATACTGTCACCAGTCAGTGTCCCTGTTCACCGCCATGCCAGTTATATGAAGACGCTGTACTGCACTGGTGACAATATGTAAAAAAAAAAAATAGTGAAAATAATTTTTTTTTTTTTTCATTTTCCGAAAAATTATGACAAAAAAATACAACTTCAAAAAACTCGCCATGCCTCTTATGAAGTACGTCGGACTGTCTACTCTGCAAAAAGGGGTCATTTGGGGATATCTGTACTATTCTGACATTCTTGGACCTCAAGAAATTAGATTGGCTGTCAGTACTTCAGGATTGATCAATATTCAGATCTATACCATAGTTTGTGAACTCTATAACTTTCCTACAAACTAAAAAATACATCCTAATTTGGGTTATTTTCACCAAAGACATGTAGCAGAATACATCTCGGTCTAAATTTATGAAGAACAATTATTTATTTGTAAACTTTTATAACAGAAACAAAGAAAAAATGTGTTTTTTTTTCAAAATTTTTGGTCTTTTTTTTGTTAATTTAGCAAAAAATAAAAACCCCAGCGGTGATTAAATACCACCAAAAGAAAGCTCTAGTTGTGTGAAGAAAATGATAAAATTTTAGTTTGGGTACAGTGTTGTATGACCGCGCAATTGTCATTCAAAGTGTGAGAGCGCTGAAACCTGAAAAATGGCCTGGGCAGGAAGGTGTAAAATCACACGGTATTGAAACGGTTAAACCCTTAAGTCGACCATACATGGATTAAAATTCGACCAGTTCTGCAGGGAACGGGTGCATTTTGATCCATGTAAGGGAAGAGAGAAGTACAGAAGGTGATCTACCAGTTGATTTCTGTACAACTGTCCTGTTAATCAACGTCGCTGGCTATAGCAGGCAGTGCTGATCAGTGTATTCTAACGTCAGGGAAGTCTCCTCACTGTAAGAATACAATGGCTTAGTGGGGGGGGACTCCAGTGTGGATGGGGGAACAGATTAATCATCCGGGGCTCCTCTACACTGTTCTTCATTATGATTCTAGGATAAAATCTCTATTTACATCTTTTATCAACATATTCTGGCAATAAACTTTAGAAAAAAAAAAAAATGGAGTACAAAAGAGTAGAACGTTTATGAAACACACTAAAGGAACCTTGGGAGATGAGGCATACCATTGCCTCAGGTGTATGGACTGTATGGGGTGGAACAATTGCAAGATTAGATGGAATAATCCAGTACATCTGCAATGGATTTTTGCTCATGACACAGCATATTATATAATACAAAAGATGATTTGACCCTGTCTAGAAAGCATGATCTGAAAAGACGTGGGTTTTAATCTATCTACGTAACTCAAACCATAGAGATCCTTATTAACCTTTATTAACCATATAATGTACCTTTACTGGAGAGCGGGTCATCATCTCTCCTGATCCTCTAGGAAAGATACGTGCTTGTGCTATCATTTCCAGGACACTGGTTTTTCCTGCACTCTGGTCTCCAACTACAACTACCTTTAAAACAAAACAATGTGTTTAAGCATTTTAGGCTGAACCCAATTTAAACTAATCAGATTTTATTTAGAAATTAAACATGCCAAACAATGCAGAAAGACACACTTGAACGAAGTCTGGATAGGGAAGAGAATCCAATTTAATCACTATAAAAATTTGCTTAGACTCTTCCTCAACAGTTGAAATACAAGTGTACAAAAATCCAGTGTGTACCTATTCAAGATACCTAATTATGTAACAATAAGCAGAAAAATAGAAGAATAAAAATGGAAAGTATAAACTGACAGTCTCAAGTGAGTTATTAAAACATATTTGTTGGTTGGTCCAAAACAGGGCTTGACAAATTTGCTTTGAATCCAAAAGTCAGATGAAAAAATTAGGAGCCAGTTTTCTTTTTAGCACAACGTGAGTTGTCAGCGCCTGGGGCAAGGCAAGTAATTTGCGTCCCCTAACCCCAACCTATATACAGCAGAGCGGCCACCCAGTAATCTCGATGTAACACTGTTAGGGTTATAGGCTGGCTGGAAAGAGGAGGGACAAGGGAGATGGGGGTAAGAGAGAAATGAGGGTAAGAGAGAAACGAGGGTAAGAAAGAGATGAGGAGGGAGAGGGGGAACTCCCATGACCCCACATACTACACCAAGAGACCCCCCCCCCCCCCCCCCCCCAAAATCACATTTGTATAACATTCTAAAGCTTCAGATGCCTGTAATGTACCCAGATCCTATCAGCAAGGTTACCCAATCACTACATGTGTCACCTAATATCACGGAGTCCTCTCACCTTCCTTCTGCCTGCTGGCTCCATCACCAGCTGCATGTAGCAAGGCAAGATCACAGCCTGGGATCCTGACCCGCTCTGCTACTACTTCACAGGTTGTGTGCCACCAGCTCAATCTCCTCCCGTCATCGTCAACGGGAGTCCCCTGCTCATCCTGCCTCAACAGGCTCCCCTCACCCTCTTGCCTCAACAGGCTCCCCTCACCCTCCTGCCAGGCCCTGCTCCAAACCACATTCCTGTCTGAATAATGTGTCCGGGTTTCAGGTGGGACACACATGGAGGGGATGAGTTCCATTGGGACACACTTGGAGGGGATGAGTTCATCCAACAAAAGAAAATAACTTTTTTTGGGCTATGAACAATGCTTTCTTCAGGAAAATTCTTGTGTAATGTGGTCAACATTATTCATCTAATAAATCAAATGAGCAATATACAGTTGTGCAAAAGGTGGAAAGGGAGATATATATTAGGTTAGCCACAAAAGCATTCACTTGCTTCCAAAAGTCAGTTATAACTTGGCAATTCTATTTTGTGGATTCAGACAGGAGAGAAATAGGTCTGATGTATAACATACAACCAAAGCAACCAGTTAGTAATCGCAGAAGGAACATATGTTATCAAAGTTTTCAGAGGTCCTAGATGTCATATGTAGTTGCCATTTGACTCTTAACTGCAAGGGGAGATTGCCCACTCTGGTATGTAGCAAATAGGAAAACTAAGTAGAAACTCTTTAAGACTTTGTGACACTATAACAAATTTACATAGTTAGTCTGGCTGAAAAAAGACAAAAGTCCATCCAGTTCAACCATTAAAAAAGTTGTAATCCTACACCCACAGTTGATCCAGAGGAAGGCAAAAAAAACCCCAGCAAAGCATGATCCAATTTGCTCCTGCAGGGGAAAAAATTCCTTCCTCATCACCGAGAGGCAATTGGATATTCCCTGGATCAACTTTACCTATAAATGTTAGTATCCAGTTATATTCTGTGTATCTAAGAAAGAATCCAGGCCTTTTTTAAAGCATTCCACTGAGCTGGCCAGAACCAACTGAAGGGAGTCTATTCCACGGGAAGAAACCTTTCTGTATTTGGAGAATACATTTATTTTCCTCCAGAGAGAGTGCCCCCTTGTCCTCTGTGATGACCTCAGGGTGAATAAGTACACCGAGTTCACTATATGAACCACTGATGTATTTATACATGTTGATCATATCCCCCCTTAATCTCCGCTTCTCAAGAGAGAATAAAATCAGTTCCTCTAATCTTTCCTCATAGCTGAGCTCCTCCATGCCTCGTATCAGCTTAGTTGCCCTTCTCTGTACTTTCTCTAGTTCCCCAATGTTCTTTTTGTAAATTGGTGCCCAAAATTGAACTGCATATTCCAGATGAGGTGTTACTAATGATTTGTACAGGTGTAAAATTATATCTCTCTCTCTGGCGTCTATACCTCTTTTAATACAAAAGAGAGGATTTTGCTTGCTTTAGAAACTGCAGCTTGGTATTGCATGTCATTATTAGGCTTGTGATCTACCAGAACTCCCAGATCCTTCTCCACCATTGATTCCCCCAGTTGTACTCCCCCTAGTATGTATGATGCATGCATATTCTTAGCCCCCAAGTCAGCAATGGGCAAACTACGGCCCGGCGGACCTTTTAATCCGGCCCCTGCGGAGCTAGGCTCCTCTCACAGTCCGCCCTGAAGACTGGTGTAGCATGAAAATCTGTCTCCTATGAGGATCTGTCCCTCTCGACGTATCTGCGCATGTGCCGGAGATCGCCGATCAGCTGCTAATGCCTGAAACTGGCACATGCGCAGATACGACGAGGGGGACAGATCCTCATAGGAGACAGATTTTCATGCTACACCGGAACGGCGCGGGAGCACGGCGAGAGGAACGCGCGGTGCAAAGATAAGTGAATTGACACGGGGGACTTGGGGACTTAATATGGGGGATGAATTACTATGGGGAATGAATTACTATAGGGGGAATGAATTTACTATAGGGGGGAATGAATTACTATAGGGGGGATGAATTACTATAGGGGGGATGAATTACTATGGGGGATGAATTACTATATGGGGGATGAATTACTATATGGGGGATGAATTACTATATGGGGGATGAATTACTATATGGGGGATGAATTACTATATGGGGGTGATGATATGGGGGATGAATTACTATGGGGGATGAATTACTATATGGGGGAATATTACTATACTTACTATGGATGACACATACACGTCATTCATCTACTCTTGGTCCGGCCCCCGGGTCCAATATATGAACCCATTGCGGCCCTCAAGTCAAAAAGTTTGCCCACCCCTGCCCCAAGTGCAAACCTTGCATTTAACCTCATTTGCCACATTGAGGTGAGGTCAGCTTGTAAGTTGAAGACATCCTGTAAGGACATTATTCCACTGCACAGCTTGGTGTCATCTGCAAACACTGAAATGGGATTTTTAATCCCAGACCCTATATCGTTTATAAATTAAAAAGTAAGGGTCCCAACACTGAACCTTGGGGTACACCACTGACAACCCTACACCATTCAGAGTATAAATAACCAATCTTTTAGCCAGTTTTCTATCCATTTACATACAGATTTTTCCAAGCCTGTAGACTTTACCTTACACATTAGCCGTGTGTGGGTAACTGTGTCAAATGCTTTTGCAGAATCCAAGTATACCACATCCACGGCCACCCCTCTGCCCAAGGTTTTGCTCACCTCCTCATAAAAAAGACATTTTTAGTAGAAATATTGGGTAAATGGATAGAACGATCGAATAAGATGGGGAGGGTACGTCCAAACTCCTCTCTGGAGCAAAAATGTAATTCTTTTTATATATACTGTAAAATCCCTTTCTTTGGGTTTATCGACGGGTGCAGCCCAGTAAGAATCTTGACCGCAGATTTATAGCACCAATTTCAGGAGAAGGACACTAGGTAGAAAAAAAACACCCCAAAAAACAAAGCATTGCCTACAAGCAGCCTTCATAAGTGGCCAAATCCCCCATCTGACATAAAAAGCTCAGTTACTTACAATACCGTACAGAAACCAATATCAGAGGGGTGGGAGCTGTGGCCTTCAATAACTTTAGAGAAAGGGCTTTTACAGTGAGAAGAAAAAAAAAATCCAGTTTCTTTTAGGTTCATTGAAGGACACAGCCTGCCAAGAATCTTGACCATAGGAACGTCTTAAAGCAGTGACCACTGAGGAGTGGGAAGCCAGAAGCAAAACAAACAATTCACAAAAAGGAACCTCCAGAAGGGTAGCAAGAAACCTCAAACTGCCGCCTGCAAAAACTTTGCAGCCAAAACACACATCTGAAGATGTTAAAACATTATCTTGTAAAACTTGGTAAAGGTATATACAGACTACCAGCTTTGCAAACCTGAGACACTGACACCTGATACCGAAAAGCCCAACACGCACTGACCCCTAATAGCATAGGTATAAAAAAAAACTGTCTGCCTAATCCATCGGCATATAGTAGCGGAATAAGCTGTCAAAATTTTGTGCAGACCATCTGTAATCACACATAGGGGGTGTCTATATTGCAGGATGGGACTAAAACAGAAAAACACACACATATTGTCCAAACCACATCCAATTTTCTTAGGGTATGATATGCAGAAGAACTGTGTCCTAATTCAAACACAAATCAGTCACCACCTTCACCAGAAAACATGGATGTAGACAAAATGATAGCCACCAAAAAGACAACCTTTTGAGAAAGGGGCACAAAAGGAAGACAGAAGTTAGGAAAGGAAGAGACCTAATATTTTCAAAGTAAGGCTTCTGCAGAACTGACAGAACCAACAACCAAGTCCTACAGTGGCAACAGAGAATGCACTAAAGGAGCTACATGCTTAACCTCTTGCATCACCACTGAAACAGAAAATTTAGAGAACAAAGCTTCGACAGTGTTGACCAGTCTTTCAATATTTTTTCTACGGAACTGGTATATAGTATAGTACTTCATGTATTACAGCAAGTTTATCTAACAGAGAGAAATTTAGGAAGACAAGTTGAGAATAATTCCAGAAATAAAATTTTGTCTTGAGATATTTCTACACATGAAAGATTGAGTGGGTGGGACCTTCTATTTTTTCCAGGAGGGAGAAAAGGGAAATCAGGAGTGCTGTCTTTGTGTCTATTAATGTCAATTGTTCCCAGAAGGTGATGGGAGCTGGTCAGCAACTCTAAATAGTATCAAGCGCATTACACATAGACAAAGCACGTTTGCTTTAAGGTGTAATGTAGTGATCTGCAAAAATATTAAAAGGTGAACTCAATTCTCATATTTCTCACTCAAGAATAAACCTCGTGCAGTGTCTTGAATAAAAATGTTTCTCACTCACGTCTCCTAAAATATTAAACACAAAATGGTTGGAGAGGACAGGGTTCTCCTATGGGGATAAAGGTAATTCCCCAGGGAGGAAACAATGAATGCCTGCTGGGGATAATTGTTGTTTTTTAGCCAACCCTGCACAGAGCATCCAGTGCAGCTAAAGCAGTGTTGCTGCAGTGTGGATGACTGCTACAATAGGCAACATTTAACATTCAATAATATGGATGAGAAGAAAAGAATGATGAATAAGTCTGTGTATGTACTATTCACAGTATAGAAAAATGAAAAGTCAACTTACCCTTGGTAAATGGTCTTGCGTGTTATAGTTTGCATCATAATCAGACAGGATATCCAACACTTCAGAATACATATCTATCAAGGATTTCTATTACATAAAAAATAAAAAAAAACTATTTAAAATTTATCAAATTTTTTGTAGTTGTGTGCTGAAGTAAAAAAACAATATGCAAACCCAACATTTCATATTCCTGATATGTGCCTGCTGTACCATGTACTTGTATGAAAAATTATCCTGTTCTCTTTGTATTGCTTCCTTTGTGTGAAATCCCTGATGTTCCTGCCAGTCCCTCTGCTTTCCTAATAAAAACTGACCACACTATTCAGCAGAGCACAGAGTGGTCAGTGTTCCGACTCTGCTGGAAGCTACTCCAATGGTCAGACTGCTGATGTTTCTCTCTCCTCCCCTAGCTCCTTATGCAGCTGAGAACAGAGTGAATGTGATCACTTATAAGACGGGAAAAAAAAAGGTAGTTATGTTTTTTTTTAATATGCATACACAAATGTTTTTCATTTCATTAGTATTTTAATATTGAATGGGTTGTTTTACAAGGTGAGGGTCTACATATACTTTAAACATCTGTTTATACAGCTATATATACACAGATAAGCAGTTTGAGCAATCTGGATTAAGCATAGGATATATTCACTTGTTTACAGTTTTACATTTAAAGTTACAAATAATTGTAATTGTTTTAATATACACCACCTTGACTTTCCTCTGATGAATTCCTTTGTCATCTTTTTGCAGCATCAGCTTCCTCAAATCTTTGTTCTCCTTCTCTAATCGTTCAAGAATACGCTGGTATTTCAACTGAGACATATAAAAAAAAAACAAAAAACATTAGAAGATAACTAGTTTTTATTGACCTGCGTGAACAAAACAGACCTACTAGCATTTCCAGCAAAGTATTACAAATTAAAAAAAAAATTCTATTCAAGAATGCCCAATCCAGGCAAAAATGTTTTAGATTGGTTAGTGTGGGGAAGTGATCTAAAGACACATGGCACATATTTACTAATGTTTATGTGTGGGGGAAAAAAAAAAAAAAAGTTACCTTTGATGTGTCCTAAATGTGCAGATCTCTTTTGTTTACAAAATATTCGGTTTATTCTGAATGCCAGATAGCACAGCTATCACTGTAGTTCTGACCCCTGTGGTTACAAGGGCTGTGGCTGTCAAACAGGGAAACTATCTAGTCCATTATCCATCCTACCTCTTCCCTTGACTTTTCACTGAATGCTGGTTCACAGAATTAAGGTGTGCTGTGAATAAGAAAGGGAAAGCGGGTGGATAAAAGACTAGACTGCGAGCAGGGCCGTCTTTAACGCGGGGCAAAAGGGGCAGCTGCCCAGGGCCCAGTCATTGTTGTGGGGCCCAAAGCAGCTGCCCCCAGGGTTTTTTTTCTTCAGCCTTAATTCCGCCACCTCCGGCACTGCTCACTTCTGTCACTTGTAAATACAGAAGCACTTGGATGTACACAGCACAATACAGGACTTGGATGTACACAGCACACCCCTCAATTCTGCACTCTGTACATAGGGCACCCCTCAACCCTGCACTCTGTACACAGGGCACCCCTCAACCCTGCACTCTGTACACAGGGCACCCCTCAACCCTATACTCTGTACATAGGGAACCCCTCAACCCTGCACCCTGTACACAGGGCACCCCTCAATTCTACACCCTGTATACAGGGCACCCCTCAATTCTACACCCTGTACACGGCACCCCTCAATTCTACACCCTGTACACAGGGCACCACCCAATTCTGCACCCTGTACACAGGGCAACCCTCAACCCTACACTGCGTACATAGCGCACCCCTCAACTCTGCACTCTGTACATAGCGTACCCCTCAACCCTGCCTTCTGTACATAGCACACCCCTCAACCCTGCACTGCGTACATAGCGCACCCCTCAACTCTGCACTCTGTACATAGCGTACCCCTCAGCCCTGCACTCTGTACATAGCACACCCCTCAACCCTGCACTTCGTGCACAGTGTAACCCTGAACTCCCTACACAGCACAACCCTCAACCCTGCACTCCATACAGAGTGCACCCCTCAATCCTGCACTGCATAGACATCACAACCCTGTACTCCACACACGCCCACCCCTCAACCCTTCACCTCGAACAAAGTGCACCTATCAACCCCTACACTCTTTATATACCCTGGCAGCCCATCCTCGGAGATGCTGCTCACATTGGCTCTCTTACCTGCACTCAGTCAACCTTCATAGTTGTGTGTTCTCTGATATGCTCATTGCTAATAACAAGTTCTAGAATTTTCTGTCTATTGGTGGGTATTGTCCCCTCCGCAGTCTGTGGTGTGCAGGAACGGAGGAGATTGTGTGCTGTAATCTTTAGCAACCAATCAATGAGCAATAATAATGTGCAGTAACCTCTAGCAACCAATCAGTTCCCAGTAATGATGTGCTGTAACCTCTAGCAACCAGTGAGTGGTAATGATGTATAGTAATCTCTAAGAGCCAATGGGTGAGCGGTAAGGATGTGCAGTACCCTTTAGCAATTAAACAGTGAGTAGTAATGATGTGCAGTAACCTCTAACAACCAATCAGCCAATAGAAATTATGTGTTGTAAGCTCTAGCAACTGATCAGTGAGCCAAAATGTGTGCTGTAACCTCTAGGAACCAGTCAGTGAGAAGTAATAAAATGCTGTAACTTCTGGAAATCAATCACTGCCTGATCTGCTGCAGTAAACTGATTTTGAGTCTAGCTGCTATTTATTGTATGTCTCAGAGTAGGAGGCTGGCAGCTAGGGGGGCCCAGAAAAATGTTTGCCCAGGTTCCATTCAATATTAAAGATGGCCCTGACTGCGAATCATAGGAAAAGGGATAATAGCTGTACTATCCAGCATGAAAAAAAAAAAAAATGTATTCGATAGGAAACAAAAAGGGATCTGCACAATTAGTATATATCAGCACAAGTATCTTTTTTTCCCACAAAGGAAATTACAAAAATGTGTCTGAGGCTGCAGTTCAGCATAATTATTTTTGTCCTCCCCCCCCCCCCCCCCACTTGTGATGCCATTGAGGAAATTTTCCTTCACTTCCTGTCCTTGTAACGGTGACCCAAGATATGGGTGAGCCGTCACTGCCAGGAGAGGCAAACAGCAAAAAAAAAAAAAAAAATGGTCTGAAGTTCCAACGTTTCCTGCTACAACAATAATTGTCTGTCGGTCTGTCGGTCTGTCTACCTGATGGAGAATATTCTCATTGCTTTCTGGCCTGTCCCATTGGGGAGATTTCCCATAATTTCCTGTCCGAACAGAAAGTAAGGTTAAATATCCCTAATATGGACAAAGATGGTAATAAAAACTTGACAGAGGCTCTAACCTTATCCTACTCTATCCAAGCAAAAAAAAAAAAATAAAATAAAAAAAGTTGGCCTAAACTGGGTATTAAAGTGTATCTAAAGCCGTGGAGGGTTAGAACCTCTGTCAGGTTTTTATTTGCTGTCCGTGTCTCCAATTAAGGAGATTCACCTTCTCTATATGTTGTGTATCTCATTTAGCAGGCTGGGGGTTTGAAAATAATGAAACTGTAGACCCTAACTGTAACAGAGAAAGTGGCATCATCCTCCTAGCTTTGATGTGTAACAAGGCTGTGTTAATTTTAGGACTTGATGAAAAGAAATATAAATCCCTTGTACCTTACATATATTTCAGCTCTGTATTTTGACATTTTATGGTGCTGTTATAATTTTTAAGAGAAACTCACAGCCTTACCTGGGTCTGTAAAAGCTCCTCCTGCAGCTGATCAACTTTCTCTTTGTCGGGTACCTTAAAGAACAGATTTAAATTATTTACATTTTCTCATATCAATGGAGCATTTATATAAATCTCAACCAATATGACACCAGTAAGTTGTTGAAGATTTATCAAATGAACAGATAAATGGGGCACTGAAGGAGGATTATTACATGTTTCTCTCCTGTCTTTACCCAATACTTTCGGTTAATGCCAGCAAAAAATTGGCATGTGTTCCATAACAGGCTGTGCAAAACAAAAGAGTAATTATTAGCAATTAAATTTACTGGTAACACAACTGAGAGCAAGTTTTAACTTTTAATAACACCAATGCAAATGTGAAGAATGCAGTCACCCCTTGCAATGTCAGACATCATCCAATACAAAAGAATGGTACCTCAATTCCTCCAAAAGCCAAGAGCCTATGGCTAAATTATCAAAATTCAAATCCACAGGTGTTTACGTTGACAGGTATTCCAATAAAACGCCACCGTTTTATTTGAACGCATGCAGCTGGGTTTAAATGGAAAAGCAGTGTTTGACAAGAATAGCTAAGACAAGAAAACTGCTTTGCAGTTCAAACATGCTGTAGTAGGGCATTCTGCATCAAAAGAAACAGTGTAAACGCAGAGCAGGTTAAATGCAGCCTCTGAACTGCAGCATGCACTGCTCAAATAAAGTCAATAGAATTTTGTTAAATTGCATTTGACATGCTTATGAAATGCTCATCAAATGCAGAAAAAGAGCACCCGGCAACATGAGTCCTGAAACTTTCTATTACCACTAATCCTGTACACAAATACCTTTTTTGCAAATAAAGAAGAATTCCTATTCAATAAAGCAAATGTTTTACCATAATTCTCACCACAAACATCTGCCATCACTGTCACATTTATATGCTCCTATCATCTGTATGCCTGCATACGTCACCAGCAACAGAACTACAGTATATTCTGAGCTGACTTCTGTCAAATGGCTAAACGATGTTTGCATCAAATTTATATCGCAATTCACATTCTGTTTTATTAATAACCTACTTTAAAAAAACGTCAAGAGTTCCAGAACCAATAATCCCAAAACAGCCTTAACCTCCCTGGCGGTATGATTATTTCAGATTTTTGGTGCTAAAAGCGGTACCATTATTTTGCATGGAAATTTGGCGTTTTATATTGTAGGCCTGTAATTCTTAGGAATAACTCACTGAAATCTGTCCGAACAAGAGTCTAGTAAACACCCCAGGTAGGATAAAACTTGAAACACGAAATCATAAATTATAATTTAATAAATAATCATAAAAAATATTATAATAATAAATTTAATTCAATAATATAATCAAACCAAAAACACTGAAATTTTAAATATAGCGCCAAGTTCGCACATCGCTGAGCAAAGTGGCAAAATTGTTTTCAGTGTCTGATGACGAATTTCCCCACAAATCATTATCACTCAATTCTGCAAGTGGTTCTAATTTACTATCGCTGTTCTCTAGCTGGTCTAAAACCGCTTTTGACCTAAAGGGATGCTTTTTGGATGTCATGGACTCTCAGGATTTCTCAGTTTCCAGGCAATAAGAACAGTAAAAATGCAGGCAGGGCAAAGCACAAAGCACTAGGGACAAAATGTATGTGAAATGGTTTGATACAGTAATGTTATACTATGTGATTTTAGTGAATGTAAATTTTTGTCATTTTCAAATTTCCCGCCGTTCCGTCCCTTGTACGTCCCAACGCTTGCAGGGGACAGAACCCAGAAGACAGATGCTGGCATCCGCCGGATTACATTGCCGGGGACACTGCAGGAAGGACATTGCGGGAGCGCAGGACAAGGTAAGCGCAGAAGGGATCGCGGAGCAGCGCCGCATGGTATTCCCGAGTGTAGCTCGGGGGTTACCGCTTGTGGTACTGAAACTTTACCCCGAGCTAAACTCGGGAATACCGCCAGGGAGGTTAAAGTGATTCTAAAGGCTGAAGGTTTTTTTACCTTCATGTATTCTATGCATGAAAGTAAAAAAAACCTTCAGTGTGCATCTCGCCCCTCAGCCCCCCTTACACTCACCTGAGACCAATCCTAATCCAGAGATGTGCACAAGAACAGAAGCTCTTCTGGGTCCCTGCCTCCTCATTGGCTGAAACACAGCAGTGGGAGCCACTGGTTCCCACTGCGGTCAATCACAGCCAGTGAGGTGGGAGCAAGGGCAGGACTAAGCTGCGCTCTGCATCTCAGACACACACGGTTGGCTCGAAAGCAAGCAAGCCATCTGCTTTTGGGGGCACTTGGCAGGGGGGAGGGGCCAGGAGTGCTGGTGGGGGACTCGAGAAAAGGAGGATCAGGGCTGTCCTGTGCAAAACCATTGCACAGAGCAGAGAAGTATGACATCTTTGTTATTTAAAGAAAAAAAGATGAACCTTTATAAACAGTTTAAATACACTAAGGTATTCTTAATACATAATTATAAAAAAAAAAAACAGCAATGCCATATGGTCACAAAAAACAAAAACTCAATTCACATTACTGTATTATATTCATAAGATATTTTTGCAAGGGCTAAAATTGTTAGCCATCAGATAGAATTTAATAAACTAATGCCTAATGCATGACTTATTCCTTATTGTGCAACAATGCACTCCAAAAATAGCTAGATTTGATATTTGAATTTTAATAAATAGAAAATGATAGTAACCATCAATATGCTTTATAATGGTCTGATATGCTCTTTCACATAATAGAATTACACATATATCCACAAAAGTTTGTGGAAAATATGAATTTTTGACTGCAGGCTAAAGCTGATTGAAAAGACAAGTGTTTGATGCATCCAGTGCTCTATGACCCGTCACCTTGCGCTTCTGCTGTGAAGTGCCCGTGTTAATGTTTCCAGCAGCCCTGCGTGCCTCCTCTTCATGCTGCTTGAGCTGCTCTTGCAATAGAATGAGTTCACCAAGCAAACCCTGCCATGAGTTTACAGAGAGAGAAAGACGGAGTGAAGGTGGGGACAAAAACAGCCATGGAGTGCAAAATGAAGTAAAAGGGGTATATAAAGGCAAAACGACAGACATACGTTAACAAGCAAAATGGACATAAATCATAAAGCTTATTCTACACAATAAAACAGAAAGACAAAACAAAAGAAAAGCTTGCTATACTGCTACATATGTTAAACACGATCAAATAATATTTGTTGGAGAGTAATAGCTTCTGTTCCAACAAAATGCTTACAGTCCTACAAAAATAAAATAAAAAAGGATTAGAACTGTTAATGTTTACCTAAGCAGGACACTATCTCTGCCACAAACATTAAGTACATGCAAAATTTCTGTAAGCAGAGCTATCACTACCAATAAATATCAGGGAATGGGTGCAGAATAGCAGGCTGAAAAAGTTAAATACAGGAAATGGATTAGAAAGAAATTGCAGCAAGAACGGTATTGTTTCTAGCCATAAGACTTTGGGGCCCTCTTACTTATCTGCATTTGAACACTGATGATCAAAGATGATCTGTGCTTTCTGTTGGAAAGACAGCTGTACACACTGACCAAATGTTGGCCAGTTCCCGTTGAACTTACAGATACCGGCCAATATTTGGCCCATGTGTACGCAACCTTAAGCTGTTGCCGATTGACCTCCTGGCTGATGGTGCCTGCATAATTCTGGGGGCAATGACATTTGGCAAAGGTAGCGGCATGATATTAATGACTATTAGCTATCTGCTTTCTGACTACTGACCACCAATGTAAGGAAATTTCTCCTTACATTGGTGGTCAGTAGTCAGAAAGCAGATTTCATCCCACGCTTCTCCAATGAATTGATTTTAGCAGGGGATCCCCGAAACTCAAACTATTTCAAAGGGTTCTCGGAGATTAAAATATTGGAAAAGGCTGGTGAAGACACTGATTTATGGAACAAAAAAAAAAATCAAAAAGGAAAAACAAACACACACAAACCAAAAAAAAAAACAACAGAATAAAAAAACACAGTACAGAAGTGAGTTTTATTCATCTACACCTGCACGTTTAAAAGAATGTAGGAATATACAATTTAAGTAAAATAGGAGACAGCCCCCAACTCCCTTGTGTTCAACCTGCGGCCCTTTGCCACTTATTGTGTTCTATAATTCGTTTGTCTGTGCTGTTCATCACCTCTTTTTATTTTTTCCCACTCAGATCTATTACAATGGATCTTCCTATGAGAATTATCAAATGTGGCACAAGACTTTTTTAGGGGGCCTGTGGGGAGCACAGACATGGAAGTCCTGATTTGTAAAGGGTCTGTAACAGCAGTGATCTTTGGTAGTCTTATCCAACAAGTCTTGTGTACTCAACTTCTATAGCATGCTCTCAGTCTCTGACCAACTCCTGTAGCATGTCTGTTGTCTCTAACCATCTCTTGTAGAATAACAATAGTGCGCAACCATCTACTGTAGTATACGTCTGTTGTCCCAGATACATTCCATGATAGGAATTCATCAAAACTGGAGCAGACAAAATCTAGAGCTGTTGTGCGCAGCAACCATTAAGCTTCTATCTGCAGTTTGTTCAGTTAAGCAATGAAAATAGGAAACAGCTGTTCCAGTTTTGATACATTCCCCACATTGAATTCTATGTATGACCTTTTGGTGATGCCAGCAGCTGCACTTGAGCCCCGCTTTATAAAGTGAGTTGACCCCCACTGTTCTAACTGGTTGTCAGAAAAAAAAACAACGTTTTGGATTTTTAAATATGTAAAATCTGATGTATTGTTCTTTTAGTTCAGAGAACCACTAATGATCTTCCTTACATGTCTTTCTAGTCGCAGGACATTTGCCATGTCACTCCAGACATTTATCTTCTAAGTCTGTCAGCATCTGGAACATCTTGTTGCATACGTACCAATGGCAAAAACAGTAATCTGTCCAGAACCTGCCCAAAATCAGACACTTGAAGTGGAAGTAAAGGCAAAACATAACTAATTTACCTGTTCTGAAACTGCTTTGGTCTGGTGGCACCCTTTGTGTGCAGGAGACAGCAAGCAATGGCTGGGAAATGCCAAGGATGTGACATCACCCATAGAGTTACTATAGGCCTTCCATTGTCGGCTGCTTCTCCTACACACTGAAGCTGACGATGACACCTCAGCCTGGGACCTGACTGGAGTGGCTGCAGAACAGGCAAGTATAGTGATTTTTTTTCTTTACAGGGCTAGACAGATTAATGTGGCAGAGAGTAGGTTTAGTGTTAGTTAGGTTGTGTCTGTACTCTCATTTTAATACATTTTATAGTCACTTTTATTTTATGTGAAACCTAAGTGCACCTCCCTTGATGTCATAGATCAACTGAACTAGGTATTTTCCTTTTCTAATGTGTTTGGTACATGAGAGGTCTAAAACTGGATGAGTGTGATTTCTTATATGTTGCTGTGCTTTCAAGAAGGTAAAAGGTGATCTGCGGGTAAGTTAGTCATTGTTCTATATATACTAGTGTTGGTATACTCAAAGATACTAACCACTCAGCGACTGCTGCCCCTCTCTGCCAATCCCTTTACTGGCTTCCACTAGCCCAATGTATAAAATTCAAAATAATAACCACAACATACAAAGCCATCCACAACACTGCCCCTAGCTACATCACCAGCCTCATCCACAGATATCAGCCATATCGCCCACTCCGCTCCTCCCAAGACATCTTGCTATTTAGCTCCCTTGTCACCTCCTTCCACGCTCACCTCCAGGACTTCTCCAGTGCCTCTTCCATCTTCTGGAACTCCCTACTACCGTATGTGCGGTTAGCCCCAACCCTGTCTGCCTTTAGGCGATCTTTGAAAGCTCTCTTATTCAGGGAAGTCTACCCCACCTCCACCTAAGAACTGTACTTGAGCCACCTCCGCCAGATCATCCCCTGCAGCTATCACCTTTGTACCACCTCCCCCTTCCTTTAGATTGTAAGCTTCACAAGCAGGACCCTCATATTCCTTCTGTACTGAAATGTATTGTAATTGTACGGTCTCCCCTTTATATTATAAAGCGCTGCTCAAACTGCTGGCACTATATAAATCCTGTATTATAATAATAATAATGGGACATAACTTACCGAGGCATTGGGCTATTGATGTGTGACTTATACATGTATGTAACTGGGACCTATGCTTTTTTATGAAGATGTGATAAAGCGATGGTAATTAGATGTATGTAAATGAACAAATACATACAACATTTACTACAAATCATATTCTCTCATGACAGTTGATACAGTTAGCTTAGGACCGCAGGCAGGCTGCATCTGGCAATAAAATGGAATAAGAAACTAGTTCATTATTGAAGGATCACAAGTTTTTTTGCAGCACGGAATTTCCCTTTTAATTTATCACACAGGCATGCAAATTTCTAACCACAGGAGGAGCACAGGATGCATCATTGCTAAACATAGGCAAAATCCTAAAATGCAGTACCCCCAGTTTGTGTAGTAAATGTAGTAGAAAATCCTCTCACAGAGCACATACAAACAAATGCTGGGAAACACATTGACATCAGCAAGATGCAAATCAAGTCACTTGCAAAAATTACAAATCAGCTGTCAAAAAGGGCTTTTTGTAACCTCAACAAAAGTCAAACAAATGGGTAGATTTGTGAACAAGTCTTTTCCTAGAAGTAAGAGCGCTTGGAATGTACTTGCACATATGAACATCTTCTATCTATGGCAATCCTTAGATAATTTCAAGAGATGTCACATTTTTCAATGGGTTTCCAAGTATGGGATGACTCTCACTAAGGAAAGCTATGTAGTGGTAGCCTATTTCTACTCTACTACTATACTTTTCATTCAAATGTGTGCTTGGATAAAGGTTGCCACTTCTGACTTCTTATGAAAATGCTAATTGCCTGGCTGTCATTGTTCATGTGACTTAAATAGTTTCTGAGCGGCTGATCTGGCACAAGAAAGCAAAACAGAAAATATGACTTCACTGGATGCATGTTCGTTTTTGATCAGTGACCTTAAGTATTGCAATCAGAGAATCAAGATGACATGTAGGAAGCTATCCTTTTTTAAGACAAACTCTGGCAGTAAGATATATTTTCTCTATTCTTTTTAGGGGAAAAACCCTGCATTTCTCTTTAGTTGGGTCAAAATAAAATAGCATATAAGCATCTTTCATAAGTACCCTTTTCAGAAATCCAGGGGCAAGTGTCAGTCTGGTTGTCCAGTGAGTCTATTAGCTGAACATCAGGATATTATGTTATACCCACAGCTCAAGGACTCAGAAGGAAGACACGTTCCCTACTCCTCTCAATGTAGAGATACTGCCATCTAGATACTCAGTCTGCAGATGTCAACAAGTGCAGAGATAATACAGGGCTCTTATTTGGTAGACCAGCATGCGCCATATATTCTGAAGCTTGGAGGCACACTGTAATGAATATTTCTTTTTTTTTTTTCAAACAAAAATAAATACAAAAAACAGCTCATAACCAGTAAAAATAAAGAAAAAATTGAACTATGGTTCCCTTTCACGTCAGGAATATTTATTGTCCTTGGGAAAAAACTTTATTGTAAACATAAGCACTCAACACAACTCCACCATAAAGGAATAAAACCTACAGAGATGCTGGAAAAGTGTTACTGCCCTTTCTATTTCATAAGCTGTCTAATGCTATGTGTTATATTTAATTGCTAGGTACTCTAGAGATACTTAACTAAAGGGTTCACGTTTTTACCGCTGTGGATATCACTGGATTACAACTATTATATATAATGACATGCTACATTTTTCAGACCTCAGATAATGCCACTGGCCAACTTTCTTTGAGTTGGGAAGGTGGCCACACAACAATACATTTTGGAAAACCATTAATGGAAACCTGTACTGTTAGAAACACAGGGACTGCATTCACTGGCCTGAGTTCCTGACGTGGGACCAACCTGCACTTTGTGAAATCTAAACTCCTGCTATGCATATCTGTTCCAGGTCAGTGACATCCCAAGTCACCAACACTATCTCATCAGCATCAGAACCAGGCAGCAAGTTCAATATAAGGCCAATTAACAGGTTTCCCTAATTCAGTACAGGTTTCCATAATAGAAACAAAAAGAAAACAAAAAAATATCCAAAGTATGTAATGTCATCTCACCTTTTTATATTGCCTTTCAGAGCCATCAAAATTCTGGCTGTCAGTAGCTTTAAAAGCAGTGGAACTTCCAGGGGCTAGTAGTGAAAACATTACAAATATTATCACAGTCACTGTAAATTAACAATGAAAAATACAGGATGACCATAACAGTTAGGTAAGACATTCAATAATCTTTGTATTAATAAACAAATACTATAAACAAAAACTAGGTCACATGAAAAAACTGTGGTTAGACACAAAACAGACTACAGAATCAGGCTTCCTTTCCAGGAAAAGCCAAGTCATTTCTGCCAAATTAGGCAATAGGGTTTTAAAAGACAGTTAAACAGTGTACCCATCCCCATAGCATTCTAGGAGTTCTGTACATGTACAGGTAGTTAAATCGAACTTAATATATGTTTCACATGTCATAACGGCAGCAGACATTGCATTACACACCTAACAACAGTAGCAGATCAGAAGCTCCTATGACTTCACTAACCAAATTGTGACCTGTGAAAAATCAGCAAGAAAAATGGGAAAAGATATTATGAGCCATAAGTTTAAGTTAGTAAAGCCTGGAAAGGAATCCTGCCCCCTGCTCTGTTTTCATACCTGTAAGTACATTAATTATATGTGTACATTATGAAATGATGCATACAGACATAGGATAAAAATTATTTGGATAAGCAACTTCTAAAGCTTAGCATTTATGTGTAGCTGAAACTTTGGCCACCCATGGCTCAACACCTTCATGGGCAATGTGTTAAAGTGTCCACCATTTTTAATCCAGATCACCACTGCTCAGTGAGCACCTTGGACACTGCAAGCTATATACTACACACATTTAGCAACAGTGAATATTATCTGATCACCCACTGCAGAGTAAAAATGTCTCTACTGTGGACATGACCACTTAAAGCGATGGTAAAAGTTAACATTTTATTTTTTAAAAACAACAAACATGTTATACTTACCTGCTCTGTGCAATAGTTTTGCACAGAGCAGTCCCTATCCTCGATTCTTATGGGGTCCACCGCTGGTGATCCTGGCCCATTCCCCCTGCTGAGTGCCCAACATAGCAAGCCAATTCCTATGAGGGCACTCATATGTGCTTGCTCCCGAGCCTGCTGTGTGCCCATGGCTGTGATTGACAGCAGCAAGAGCCAATGGCTCCCGCTGAAGTGTCTGAGCCAATGAGGAGGCAGAGAGCTAAGAGGGCCTCTCATGCAAATTGCTGGATCAAGATCAGGCTCAGGCAAGTATAAGGGGGGGGGAAGGGGCTGGTGGGGGAAGCTGCAAACAGAAGGTTTTTCACCTTAATGCAGAGATTGCATTAAAAAGGTAAAAGAACTTTCTGCCTTTAGAACCATTTTAAATAGTCCACAGACGTCAAAACGCACCATGCGTTCCTGAAGTTTGCATCAGAAAGAATTATAAAAATTGTCAGCGATTGATTTTAAACCTGTACTCCAGGCAGGGGTGCTTACAATGATCAGCTTTTATTTATGTAAAACGTTTATCACAAAAGGAACAAAAATGTTTGCTGTAACTGATTTTAAATTATTAGCTGGAGTTGAGTTTTAATTTGTTACTGTATTTAAATCTGCTAGTACATCTAATAGTCCCTCCCCCAGAATGGCAATGCTGCTGTCCAGATCTGCCCCCTGTGCTACTTCATCCAGAGTGGTGTCTGCACAATACAGGAGGTGTATTACTGGCCAGATCACCAGGGGAAAACAGAGGGAAAAAACCCCCCAAAAATTAAACTAATACAACAACCACATCTAATGAATGGTAATCTGCAATATATTACATTATGGGGTTTGAGTCTAATACTGCTTTAACACAGAAAATAAACACTAAGTTACTACTTCTGCATGACACTATCATTAACTCTCAGTTGGTAAATATCAAAGTACAATATGGAGATATGGGATGGGCACAGTAAGTTTTGAAAACCTTATTCTTCAAATTTAAAATGTCAAAGATCTAACATAAATCAATGAAGAAAACGTCTGATAGAGTACAGATTTTTTGAAGATCCATTACCTGATGAAAGCCAACTTTTAACAAAACTAAAACTTTCCCCTATTTTGTCAAAGTCTGGCAAAAGTTTGGCTAACTCCTCGGAATCCGGAAGTGCTTTACTGAGTTTATCTGCAAAGGAAACATACAAGCTAAAATTAAAATAATGTTCAAAATGTATAAAGAAGCGTATAGCTAAAGGCAACAATATGTAGAAAGGTAAAATTCAAAATGACAAATGATCACTCAGGAATCTGACTCCGGTCTGATGCTAAAAAAGCCCAAACTAAGACCAAACTAATGGTAAAGAATACAGTAATCTTTAAGCCTGATTACTGACCAAAATTGATGTGCTCATCTAACTCCCATATGAAATCAGGGACAATCCACTTGTATTCACTAAGGTCAGGGAACATGTCCTTCCACTGGTCATATGTCTGAAACACAAAAAAGCAAATGAACGAACATACAGAAGTCAAGAAAGTTAAAGAAGTTCACCTTTTAAAAAAAAAAAAAAAAACAACAAGAAAATGCACGTTATACCCTCAATACGGGTGCTGAAACGTTGCAAAAATGCAACACCAGTTTTGTTATTGTAGTTACTGTACAAAGATTGATAGTTCACATGTTATTATGTTGGAGGATTAGAGCTCTATTTTCTCAATTGTTGCAGCTAATTGAATGAACCATGGCAGAAAAGAACGCAGAATTCACAAGCATTGAGCAAGGATGCATCTTGAAGTTCCTCCTCCTGCAGTAGAAAACGCCAAAGGAAATTCATAAGCAAATGATGGAAACACTGGGTTACCAGTGTCCATCAACAGCGAAGAAATGGTGTCCAAAATTTGTATAGCAAATTTTTGACTAGAGATGCTGCAAGATCTGACAATTGATCCCGTACAAGAAGCAGATATTCTGACAAATCTGCAGGAGACCTGCATGGTATCAGCACTCTACTGATAGCTGGTGCAATGCTTTCCAGTCTCCTTTGGACAAAAATAATGAATACGCATTTTTTACCTGCAAAAAATTGTGCATTTATTAATTTTGTCCAATAGGTGAACTTATCTTTTAATTGCTGACCAAAAAAAGTGAAAGAGTGAAAACAGCCAAGTTGATTTTGCAGCATTTAGGATCGATTAGTGACTGTTGACAACAGTCCTCACAGTCGGGTTCCTCATGGTCAAAAAAATTAAAAGACCCAGAAGTCAGCAGGCAAAGACATGGTCACAATATTCTGGGATGAGGACAGTATGATAATATCAAATGATTTTCAGAAGGCCCACACATTACTGCAGATTACTATTGTGACTTGGTTAACAAAGCCCGAATCAGCATTAGTAGAAAAGTGTCAAGGGAAGCTGTGGAAGGGTGTGCGGTTTTTGCAGCACAATGCACCCTAACACAAGCAGGCAAGACACTGGCTGTATTGAAGGATTTAAAGTGGTTGTAAACCTAAAAAACACAAATCAATCTAATCCTACTGTTGAATCGATTTTACCTTTACAAAGCATTTGAACTTAGCTTGGTATCTTGAAGCAATCCCCTTCTCCAGAAATCCCCCCCTGCTCTTCTGAACAGAATAAATCCAACAAGCAGGAAAATGGTGTCACCACTCCCCTTCTCCTGTGAGTGAAAGGCTGTGCTGAAGACGAGACCAGCATGAGCCTCCATGTAACACACTGCAAAGGGGTGGGGGAGCGGGTGTCCTCTCCCTGCTGGCCTCTGCCTTCACAAGATCGACAACTCAGCACCGGTGGTGATGACACAGATCGGCATCACTTCAGTAATGCTGTAGTTATCAAGGTAAGTTTGCTGACAGACGATTATTGCCCTGCTCTATTCACAGCACCTAGCTTGTGAATTGTTGTTTACAGATTTTTACATGAGAATGTTTCCTGGTTCACATTGCCACTTTAGGCTGCAGGATTCCTAGAACTTTAACATTAACACCTTCCTATTAGCTTTCTCCTGATCAGCACAGATCCTGTGCTGTAAGCAGAGCCGACATAGTCACTGGCACCTGTGTATTCCCCTGATTGTACTCAGGAGACATGCTTGCAGGCACAGAGATGTCAGATAGCTGTGCACGTTCTTGAGCCGTGGCTGGAAGGTGTGTATAACTGAGGGATTGGGCGACATCACATCTCCACCTATTTTCTGGTCCTAAGCCACGCCCACAGACCAGCTTTTTTGGAGGGCTGAGACAAGCTAAGGGAGCATTTTTCTGAGGTACACTCACACAGCTGTGTGTATGTTTACATTAAACTTTATTCATTTATGGCAAAAAGTACATTTTTAATATTTGCGTTTACAACCACTATAAGGTTTTTGTGCATAGTACAACCTCTTTAAGGTTTTTGTGCATAGACCATCCCCCCCCTGTTCACCAGATCTTGCTCATTCCAACTATTACCCATATCCTAACCTTAAAAAGACACTGAAAAGGACAGACATTTTTTTAATGGATTCAGAGGTCAAAGCAGCAACAGAACAGTTTTTTGCAGAGCAATAAAAAAATTTGTTTTGGAAGAGTTAAAGAAATTGGGAAGATGATGTGCTAGCAGTGTTGAACTTAGAGGAAAATATGTAGTAGAGCAGAAAAGTTTAGTTGCTCTAGATCTAGCACTGCTAACAGCTCTTACTGCTTGGACATCAGTGGCTCCTGTGCCATGGCCATTTCTGCAAAAAACAAAGTTTGGGCTGGATTCCTGCACTCTCCCCTTCGCATTCGCAACTGACTAAGTTACAATGTTTTACATTGTCTAATGTAAATGGCTAAATGGTTAGCACTTCCGCCTGGCAGTACTAGGGTCATTGGTTCGAATCCCAACCACGGCACCACCTGCCTGGAGTTTGCATGTTCTCCCTGTGCCTGCGTGGGTTTCCTCCGGGTACTCCGGTTTCCTCCCACACTCCAAAAGACATGCTGGTAGGTTAATTGGATCCTGTCTAAATTGTCCCTAGTATGTGTATGTATGAATGTGAGTTAGGGACCTTAGATTGTACACCCCCTTGAGGGTTAGGGAGTGATGTGAATGTACAATATATATGTAAAGCTCTGCGTAAAATTGACAGTGCTATATAAGTACCTGAAATAAATAATTTGCTGTGGAGTATTAGGGGAGCAAAGAGAAAATACTCCACTATCAATTACTATCATTCAGCAGCCCTGCATGATGCGCAACCGTGTCACATGGGGTGGCAGAAAAGAATGACAATCTTTTTTAAAAATGTTTTTCTCTTCTATGTGTGCCATCAGAGGAGCCAACTTCCCACAGTGCAGACTTGCTCCCAAACTGGACTGTGTGAGTCTATTGACACAAACAGCCTGGCTCAACCCCGCCCACCGCGCTCTACTCACTGGATTTGATTGACAACAGCAGGATCCAATAGCTCCCACTGCTCTCAGACAAGACTGTGAGAAAGCGGAAGATCTGTGGACCGGCAAAGGATACAAGACTCAAGGTAAGTATTTTGGGGGCGGAGAGAAACAGCAGCTGAAAGGTTTTTTGTACCTTAGTGCATAGATTATTTGACTTTAGAACCACTTTAATTTTAACAAATATAACAATAAATATACAACACATACCTTTTTAGCTGTGTATCCACCACCAACAGCTGATCCTAATACCAGGTAGCGCAGTTTTAGCAGCCTGGATGCCAACCTAGCAATCCAGAAGTTGCGCTGAGTCTGATATGCAATATTTAGAGACAGAAGTTTGCTTCTCCGTAATGGGGGACGAGACAGCGCAGAGTAACATCGAACTGGTGGTTTTGGTAATGAGCGCTGAATGGACAAACCTGGATAGGAATAATGGTGCCTGCGAGCATACAGGCTCTGCCGTGGTAATTTCTTTCCTTTAACAGAAGGCTGATTTATCACCCCTCTGCACACAATGCTGAAAAACACAAATAATAAAAGATATCAGTAAACAAGCAATGCCTCTAAGTTATAGTCAGACTTGTAATTTATATGCTGATTAAGTGTATCTATAGTCAAAACTTATTTTTTAGTTATGGATTAAGTGAGGAAGTATTAGAACCCCATTTAGGTTTTATGGCAGTCAGAAGCTCCTTTGGAAAGGCTTCTTCACTTCAGATCTGTAACACAAAATTCAAAAATAAGCATCTGTCAGATGCAAGTATTGGGGTATTTATGCAAGCATTTACTGATCATTAGCCAGGGTTCACACTGAAGTGGTGTGGAATTCTAAGCGATTTCTGTGCGAATTCCGCACGGCAAGAATCGCACCGTTCATGCGAACCGCTGCGTGTGTGTATGTTAAGTTAACAACTCCCTGAAATCGGTCCGCAAAACGCGGTGCAATGTGCAGAATCGCAAGGGTGTGAAAAGCCATGCGATCCGATTCTAGTGCGGACCAAAAAAAGGGTCCTTTCTGGTTGCGGATGTGGTACAATTGGAGCCATACGAAATATATGGCTCTAATCAAACCGCACAAAATTTGCATGTGATTTGCACAGGAATGCGGTGCGAATCACATGCGAAATACCACACCGCATACGTGTGAATCTAGCCTTAGGCAGGAACATTTTGTGCTAGTAACAGAATGCTGCTAAAGGCTAACGTCACTATTTGCATCATGTTACACCTGTATTCAGGTTACAACGTGGTGCAAATGTGAAATCCTCCCCCACTCCCAAACTGGCCCCAGCCCCGTTTGACAACTCCAGCAGCAGCTGCCACTTTTGAAATCAGTGTGGCTGTGCGGGATTCTGTACACACACAGCCACATTATTCATTCACAGAGAATGAATTACAAATCTCATCTGCCACTGTGGCAAACAGACTTGCAGTTTTCAATAAACTAATGAGAAAATCATCACACTCATAGTCAACTGACACTTTCTCCAACTCTCCAACTGAAAGCCCATACAAAGGTATGGACAGGGAGCTGAAGGAGAAGTGTGCAGGAGCCTGGCACTGCACCCATAACCCACTGATCGCACGTGCAGTGCTTTGCAAGCTACTATAGAAAAAAAACACGCACATGTATTACTTTTTTTTTATTAAATGAACTTAGCCTTTATAGACACAGTCACTGTGTCCACTCAGGAAGCATCTCTTTAAAGGACAACTGGACTTTTGTACGAAACCTCATAGACTTGTATGAGACCATCTTCAATGCTGTAGCTGTTCCCTGGATTGCTCAGATGGCCCCATTTATGCCTGAGATCTCAGTGCACAGGTGTGCCCATCAGTGAGGAGGGTTTCTGTTCAAAAAGTAAAAATTGCACAGGATTCAACTCTGGTACAGGGATAAGTAAGCAGCTGGGAGGGAATGTTAGTGTAGGTCGATCAGAAGAGGTGTGGGTATAAATTAGAGTTCAGTATAAAGAACAAAAAAAAAAAAAAAAAAAAAAAAGATTCCCTTGCAGGATGTGATATTGTGCATACTAGCACAGTATGCCAAATTTACCCTAAAATGAAGCCCTTCAGCACTGTGTTGTCACTGCTTTCAGGGCTTCCACCTTCGCTCAGTCTTACTTCCAGGTTTGCAGGCTCCATGGCCAAGCCACGATGAGGTCACACACGAGCATGCGCACGGGAGTCGTGGCCGCAGCACAGAGCTCTGAATGGATGGCACTGTCCAATTAGAGCGCAGGGTGCATATGCACGTGACGTCACCAGCTGCTACTAAAGTAAATATTTCTTAAACGGTGTAAGTTTAGGATATATTATCTGTACCTACAAATGTGACAAATGTTCAGGCCTAATGATTATGAGAGGATATTACAGATATTTTGTGGTGAGGAGCAATAGGAAAGGGAGTGTAAAAAAAAAAAAAAAAAACTCAGGGGAGGGGGGAAGAGAACTAAACAGAAAGCCCATTGAATAAAATGATTACTTCTATACAGTCTCATTTCCTGACAACTTAGGCTCCTTTAGTAAATCTAGCTGACAGATGGAACAGAGAAGATAAAAGAGCATGTAAGGATGGCCAGGGATGAGCTGATGTCTCAGCAAAGGCTTAAACAGCCTGTGTCACCTAATGATGACCATAAACGAGGCAAACAGAACCATATTTAACCACTTGCCCTCTGGAAGATCCCCCCCCATCATGACCAGGCCATTTTTTGCTGTTCAGCACTATGCTATTTCAACTGGTAATTGCACAGTCGTGCAATGCTGTATCCAAATGAAATTTATGTCCTTTTTGCACACAAATAGAACTTTCTTTTGGTGGTATTTGTTTACCTCTGTGATTTTTACTTTTTGTGTTATAAAAACAAAAAAAAGACCGAACAGTTTGAAAAAAACACAATATTTTTTACTTTTGGTTATACAAAATATTCAATAAACGCAAAGTTAGTCATAAATTTAGGCCAAAACTTATTCTGCTACATGTCCTTGGTAAAAATAACAATCCTAATACATGTATATTATTATAATTATGTATATTGAGTTGTGTGAATGTTATAGTGTCTACAAACTATGGTATATATATTGGAATTTATGCAGCTTTTACTTTGACTGCCTATCACATTTCTTGAGGTGCTAAAATGCCAGGGCAGTACAAACCCCACCCCAAATTACCACTTTTTGGAAAGTAGACACCCCAAGGATTTTGCTAAGAGGCTTGTTGAGTCCATGGAACATTTTGTTTGACACAAATTTTTTGAATATGAAAGTTATTTTTTTTTTTTTCTACACAAAGTTGTCACTTAAATTACATATTGCTCACACATGCCATGGGTATATGTGTAATAACACCCCAAAACGCATTCTGCTACTTCTCCTGAGTATGGGGATACCACATGTGAGAGACTATTTGGCGGCCTAGCTACATACAGGCCCCCCCAAAATCCAACGACCACCTCCAGGCTTTCAATGGGCATATTTGTTCAAATCACTTCCCCACTACTTATCACAGTTTCAGAGGCCCTAAAATGCCAGGCTAGTACAAAAACTAAACCAAACGACCTCTTTTAGAAAGTAGACACCCCAAGGAATTTGATAAGAGGCATGGTGATTAATTTACAGATATCACTTTTGTCACAGGGTTTTGAAAGAAAAAAGAAAAGAATTTATAATTACACAGGAGGTCTATTTCTAGAATTACTGCCCTGGATCGAATGTTCGCAGTGATACCTCACACATGCATGGTGCAATCTCTGTTTACATACCGACACAGGACCAACGCTTGCGTTTGCCCTTGCACACAAGCACAGGAAGGGGGGAGGGGCGAGGGTGATTTTTTTTTTTTAATCACTTTTATTGTTATCACAGGGAATGTTTATGAGAAATCTGGGGCCTATTAGACTCTAGATCTCTCCTCTGCCCTTAAAGCATCTGGTCACACCAAAGATCGGTGAGATCAGATGCTTTCCCAATTTAAAAATGGCACTGTTAAAGTCCAGCAAAATGGACATGATGAAATGCTTGTAACTTCTGGTTTCTTAGACCATAGAGATGATTGGAGTCATTCTGGTCTCTGCTCAGCTTCGGAGTGGCGGTGGACATCGTGATTAATGTTGGATCTACTTCGGGGGACATTCTTTTATTAAAGGGCTTGTCGAAGAATGACTTCTGTCTTTTTTCCACACTACAGCTTTTCTTTTGTGAATGGGTAGGAGAACCATGTACCGCATACTCATTCACGGGGGGGTGTGGGCCGGGATCTAGGGTCCCCCTTGCTAAAGCCCCCGCCTGCAGACCCCCACAACCACCGGCCATGGTTAATTTTTGTTACTCCTGAATGCAGGTTTGGTGCATTAAAAAAAAAAAAAACGACTGTAAACTAAACTGCCTGTAAACGACAGTGTATGTGGACACATAGGAAAACATTAGGGAGAATTCAGGGGCTGCTGAAAAAAAAAAAACCGGAGAAAAACTCCTGAACGTGAGTTTATCAGCTGCAGTGTACATGGAGCCTAACTCATTCATGAACTATCATGAATGAGCTAGGTTTTTGACAGCTCAAGATAGAGATTTGTGATTGGCTGGAGCTGGTCACATGGTACAGAGTGCTGTGATTGGCCTCTGTTATCATGTGACAGTTGTGGGCCAATCAAAGCTCACTAGGAAGAGAACCAGAGCTGTTATGAATCAAACTGATTCATAACAGCTTTGCTAACATTGCGATCACATGATCACTGGGTCCCATTCACCAGTCGCGGGTGGGGAGCCCCCCTTTGTTAGTATAGCCAGAGTGAGGTGCCCGTAGCTGCCGCCCGTCCGCAGTACGGGCGGGCAGGAAGCGGTTAACTTGCTTCAGTTGGCAAAAAAACATAAAAAGGGATCAAATAATCCAGCTGTCAACAGTATGAATAAAATATGTGAAAGCTGAATTCCAGTTTGGGATATTTTTGCATAGTTACATTGGTCCAGTGTGGACTATAGTGAGTAGGGGTATTTTATACCAAGCTGATCGCTGTGGAAGAAGAGAATCACTGTAGCAGCCGCCCTGATACTCAGTGATCCTCAATATCTTCTGGGTCCTGTGCTGCTATGCTGCATTGTGAACAAAGGGGGCCGCTCGCTTGACATGGGAGCCATTCAGTGAACTCCTTTCATTTGCCTTTCTGACTGGATGAGATAGAGGTGTGGTGGGGTGAAATCATGATCTTCACCTTGTCCAGAGAAAGCCTTGTATTCACTGAGAATGGTGCCTGTGCTAAGCAAGCAACTCCCCGTTTCACAGGACCCAGAGGATCACTGTAGTAGAGTAGGCTACTACAGTAATTCTCCACTGTGTGTTGTGTGTAGTTTTACTTGGGAGACATGCTGCTTTGTATCTCTCTGCTGTGCAGAGTGATACAAAGCAACATGTCCATGCTGACAGGAGAGAGACCTGTGTTGTTTACACACAGAACTCTCCCGTCAGCTTTGCAGATGAACACCGATTGACATCCCAGGAAGCCAAAAGCAGAGCGGTGTGT